ATCGGGAACATGATGACTCCAAGTGACCTCAGTTAAATTTTCCAGACTGAAAGTCTTGTCAATCAGTTGAATAGTTAGTGTCTGCCAGAAAAGAAGAGATAACATTGGTATTTTAGAACGTCTTAAACATCACATTTAACAACAACAAATGATGTGTTCATTTTTTCCCCAGAGAGTAACAGAAGGTTCCTTTTCAGGTCACATTGATTCCAGACAGATGACTATAGAGAGATGTGCTCTGGGCAAAATCCCTGTGCCAGAAATGTGTCTTTCTACTTCATTTAGTCAGAACTACACTGCTCAAGAATTTGCATATTTGATTAAAACCAATGCTCAGAAAAATATCTTTGTTTTGCCACTGGATTTTAACCTTCCTGAAGGCAGGCTGGTTTCATGTTTTTACCATACCCAACACATAGTATACTGCCTGGCACATAATAGTGTAGTGTAAACCCTGAGATTTGGATTTCTTTTTTTTTCTTCTTTTTGTTTCTTTTTTGTAAGGCAAGTGCCTCAGTTAAACTTCAACGGACAGATTTGTCCATTTCAAAGAGGCATCTATTTCCAGCCCAGGGAAGCTCCTTTGTTTTCCAGATCTTGGTTGATTTCAATAATTGATCACTTGGTCCCCTTGTTGGTTTCTCTTCTCAAGCTTGAAATTCACCATGTGTCAAATTCACCAATAAAGAGTGAACCCTGGAAGCCCTAGGTCCCTACCCCCACCCCCAAAAAAGCTGAACCCTAGGCTCTTGCCCATTCTCGACACCCCCCCCCCTCGACCGCCCCAGGACCTCCTTGTATGGCCCCAGGTGTGCTGTGAAATTTCCAGGACTTATATAAGTTATAAGCTTGTATCTTTTCAAAGTTTCCTGATGATTATTGCTGAAAAACATATTTTACTCATAATAAGAACCACATGAGCTGGTCCAGCCACAACCTTGGTTATTGATAGGTTGAGACCAGCACATAACAAATGCGCATCTGATATGCTACAAACTTTCCCCAAAAGAAAGTGTTCAAAAATCTTCTGTATCAGTCTTAACTGGAAGTATTTACTTGCAAAGGGTGGTTTTGAGATCAATAGTTCAGGAAAAATTTTCTGAAGTAGAGAACTAAATGATATAAAATATAGCATAGGGAATATAGTCAATAACTGTGTATGGTGTCAGATGGGTGTAAGATTATTGGAATGATCACTTACTAAGTTATGTAATGTCTAATCACTAAAGTGTACACCTGAAACTAATATAATAATGTATATAAACTGTAATTGAAAATAAACAAAATTATTTAAAAAATCAATTCTTAGTGACTTAAAAAAATTAATGAGATTGGAGAGAGAGGATCTGTTTGAATGTTCAGAGGGTCATTGTCCAAAATTCAAGTACCAGCAGGACACTCTTTTTATCTTTTAGAAAACAAGAATAATCCATTTTTACCTTTCTAAACCACTCCCTATGAGTTACTGAATCCATATTTATGATAGATCTAGTGTTCAAAAGTGAGATACTTTTCCTTCTGCTGTTACTCTTGATAACTCTATTTGTAATCTGTCTTCGATTAGTTGGCTGTGGCCATTAACCAAATAATTGATCTCACATCACAGGTAGCATATATTCATTTTTATGATTACCACCAATTTTCTGCCAATTTTCACCAACCTATGAGATCTATTGATTTGACCAAGGATGTGAGTAATTTCAGGAAGAAGGAAGAAAAATCTCCAATAATAATTTTATTAGATAACTCTTTCCTTTGTTTGAGCCTCTGCCACAGACATAGGTTTTGTTATACTAGCCTGGGAAACCAAACTTAACACATAGCATAGTTTCTTCGGGAAACAAATGGAAAGGATTTCATCACACCATTGATCATTGCTCCCTTGATTACACTAGGGAGGACCACTAATATTTTATATTTTACAATATAATTTATTTTATTTATTTATTTTTTTAAATATATTTTATTGATTTCTTACAGAGAGGAAGGGAGAGAGATAGAGAGTTAGAAACATCGATGAGAGAGAAACATCGACCAGCTGCCTCCTGCACATCTCCTACTGGGGATGTGCCCGCAACCCAGGTACATGCCCTTGACCGGAATCGAACCCGGGACCCTTCAGTCCGCAGGCCGACGCTCTATCCACTGAGCCAAACCGGTTTCGGCATACAATATAATTTAATAGTTGCAACTTTTCTGGAACATATCTATTGTATATGTCTATAACCTTTCAAATATAAGTAAATATAACTGATAGTAATAGTGGTGGTAACTTTGCAGAATAAAATTAATTTATGACATAACAACATTCCTTTGAGACATACCTGATTGTAGGGGTCACTCATGAAATTCGTTGTCGTGAATTGGCTGTTGTTATAGGTGACATTGACTTGTGTCACATAAGTAGAATGGATCCCCCAGATTTTAATATATCCAACTTTCAGTTGATTTGAACCATTCAAATACTTATTGTGCATGGTCTGGATTTGCAATATGTTCTATAAGAAATGTATAAAAATAAAAAATATGTAATATATCTGTTTATTGCCTATATTCCATATTAAAATGTTAAGCCTCAAATTACTATTGTACTGGTTTGCTGTTTATTTTTAATTAAACATTTCATGAAGACTACTTTCTGAGTACCAGCTACAGTAAATTTGATGATATCCAATATTATTGTAGCTATCATATTGGATAGTGCAGGTCTAAGATATTCTCTCCATCCTAGGTAACATGTTTTAAGACAAATCTATACTAATTGTAGTCCAACAGAATAAATCAGATCTGAAAACTAGTTTAAACACAAAATAGAGGACGTTTCCCTGGAAGTTATGATTCCAAGAAGAGAGAACAGAAAGGATATATGTCAGACATTGTCACATACTTGAAGCACTATCTACACTAATAAAAGAGAAACATGGTAATTAGCGTACGACCGCTACCCTTTTCATTGGCTAATCAGTGAGTATATGCAAATTAACTGTCAGCCAAGATGGCGGCCGGCAGCCAGGCAGCTGGAAGCGAACATGAGGCTTGCTTGCTGCAGTGAAGGAGGACTCCAACGTTCCCCGCCTCAATTGCCAGCCTCTGAGCTGGCAGTTTGAAACTTTGTAACAAATATAGAAGCTAAACAAAACCCCGGGATCTCAGAGCTGGAGTTATACATTGTTTCGATTATAGAACGCAAACAAACCAGCGGAAGCCTCAGAGCTAGAGCCAGAGCTAAAGCTAGCCCAGAATAAAATTTTAAAAAAGAGAAAAAAAAAAAGGAGCGGTTGGGAGCTTAGTCAACAACCACCAGCCTAAAAGCAGCCCTCAGCCCCTCACCCAGACTGGCCAGGCACCCCAGTGGGGACCCCCACCCTGAAGGGTGTGTGACCAGCTGCAAACAGCCATCATCCCCTCACCCAGGCTGGCCAGGCACCCCAGTGGGGACCCCCACCCTGATCCAGGACACCCTTCAGGGCAAACCAGCCGGCCCCCAGGCCTCTATCCTATATAGTAAAAGGGTAATATGCCTCCCAGCACCAGAATCAGCGGAGCCTCGAGGCCTCCTGGCACCGGATCAGCGTGACAGGGGGCAGCGCCCAAACCCCCTGATCGCCCTGCGACTCTGTGTGTGACAGGGTGCGGCGTCCCAACCCCCTGATCGGCCCTGCTCTGTGACAGGGTGCAGCGCCCACCCCCCTCCCCCACAGGCCCTGCTCTGTGTGTGACAGGGGGCGGTGCCCTAACTCCCCTATCGGCCCTACTCTGTGCGTGACAGGGGGGAGCTCCCCAACCCCCTGATGGGCCCTGCTCTGTGCATGACAGGGGGGAGCTCCCCAACCCCCTGATGGGCCCTGCTCTGTGCATGACAGGGGGCAGCGCCCAACCCCCTGATTGGCCCTGCTCTGTGCGTGACAGGGTACGGAGCCCCAACCTCCCTGATGGGCCCTGCTTTGTGCGTGACAGGGGGTGGCGCCGCAACCTCCCCATTGACCCTGCCTTGAGTGTGACAGGGGGCAGTGCCCCAACCCCCCAATCAGCCCTACCCTGAGCGTGACTGAGGGTGGCATCGCAACCTCCCAATCCGCCCTGCTCTGTGCATGACCAGGGGCTGCACCTAGGGATTGGGCCTGCCCTCTGCCACCTGGGAGCAGGCCTAAGCCAGCAAGTCGTTATCTCCCGAGGGGTCCCAGACTGCGAGAGGGCACAGGCCGGGCTGAGGGACCCCCCCCTTCCCCCCCCCCCCCCAGTGCACAAATTTTTGTGCACAGGGCCTCTAGTCTATAATAATAAAAGCGTAATATGCTAATTAGATCAGACATCCTTCCCAACGACCTTCTGGATGAAGCTGGGGCTGTGAGGGAAGCCCAGGTCTTGGGTCCCGGAGGGAATCCCGGTCCCAGGTGCCAGAGGGAAGCCGGTGCCAGCAGCAAGGGGAAGGAAGGCCTACTCTTTCATGAATTTCATGCATCAGGCCTCTAATTATGTATAAAAGACACAATAGGTTTGTGTTATACTATTCCTTAGTTCAAATCAATGGGGAACAAATGAAAGAAGGTTCCAGGTTTGACATAAAATGATCTTCCTACTCTAATTAGAATTTTGTAGGTTATCCATGGAATAATAAAACATGCATGGTAGATTGATTGAATCACTGTCTCAAATTATTTACCCCTCCTTATCCATACCATTTTCCATATAATTTTGTAATACACTCCTGCTCTGGTGGGGCATTCTATCCTACCTTTGTGTCTGGGCTTGGCCATGTGACTTACTAATGGGATATTAGTCAACTTGAAGCAAATGGAGATTTTAAGAAGTTCTCAGGCATTTCCATTTTTCCCCTTTTTTACAATCATGAAAAGGTCATGCCCAGACTTGCTCATAAGGCCATTTTAGATCACTCAAGAGCCATATGACCCCAAGGTATGTGAGTGAATACAGCCAGGGTCATCCAAGCAGCCTAACAGTACCACAACTGATTTCAGATCTAGGTAAGCCAGCCAAGATCAGCCAACTCCAGCCCAGATCAACTGAACATTATAAACTCATGAGCTAAATAAATATTTATTGTTACATACTGCTTAAGTTTTGGGGTTGTTTGTTGTGCAATGAGTAGCAGATGTAGCATTTATCCTTCAAAATTTTATTAGCCAGAAAATGCTGTCTCAATCCCAGGAAACATGTTATACATATAAGGACTCACCCCTCTCCTCCCCACAGTATAATACAAATGACAAGTTTCTTTTTATAGAGTGATAGTATATTGGATAATTATCAAAATAAGGACTGTTTCTTCCTTATTTTAATGTCAACAGACCTGATTTATAAAGGAAGGAAGGTCTTCCTATTAAGACATGGGATATTATATCCATACAGTTCATGAATAATGCTTAATCTGTAGCTAACTGGAAGAGGATTTATACAATTCAATTTTAAAAGTCTTACCTGACTTGCTGTAAAGTTTGCCAAAAAATAGTTTCCATTTTCATAGGTATCTGCAACCAAGAAAATAGATTAAGCAACTATTCGTTACTTCAACTGCTGCAGATAATCTTACATGGAGTCAGAAAATGCCTCAATGGGCTCACAATTACTGATCAGGATAATCTTGACTTCTCTGAGGAGCACTAAAAACAGGAGCTGAGGGAATATTTCACTCTGAGTTAGTGTGGGGATGTGCATATGAAAGAGAGTGTTTTGAGGTAAGGGTCAGGAGGTTGCAAAGACCAGAGAACCTGGGTTGAACTAAGGTCTTCTATCATAGGTGAAAAAATGTGAAGGCTACTGATCAGTTGTTTTCTGTGCCAACATAGCAAGCACATAGCCATGAGAGCTCACATGGATATGATGATAAGCAGAGGAGAGCAGTTAGGAATTCAGACTCTCAAGTCAGATTGGCATGGGTTCAAATCCCCACTCTTGCACTTCGTAGTTGTGCAATCTCAGGCAAGTCACTTAACATTTTATCATCCATAAAATGAAGACAAAAAATAGGACTAACTCATGGCAATAAAGAACAGAACATGTTGCTTGTGCATAATAAGTATTCAAAATTTGTTTTTCAATATCATCATCAGTTATTGTAATCTTCATCTTTATTATTCTGTCTCTACTCTCAGCTCATCCTTCCATAGCATTCTATATCTCAAGCCCTCTTGCCTCCCAGGAATTACTCCACCAGTTCTTCTCCATATTCTCCTTGCTCCTCCAAGCTCCAATTATGCTCCAGAGCACTTCATTCTGACAAATCCTTAACTTGATTCTCTCTACATCAAGTTATCATATCTCCTTTCTAGTGCCCATGTCTCAAAAAAGGTAGCCTCTGCTTGTTATGTCTGTGTACTCAACTCATAATCCAATCCTACATCTCCTACACTTCAGCTCCTATTTCCCTTTTTCATTGAATTGGACCTTTCAAAGTCACCAGTGATAGTGACATGGTATATCAAATCTAAATATCTCTCCATATGATCTCTTGCCCACACATCTCCTTGAAATATTTCCCAGTTGATGTCCACTTTACTCATCCTCATCATGTGGCTTCTATACCTCCTATTTTGTAAAAGTCAGTTTCACATCATGTTCTTATCTTGGCCCTTGTCAACATTCCATCTCTTACTGTTATTACAACATATTCTCTCCCTGAACCGACAAAGCCTCTTCTTTGTTTTCTAAATTACCCCAACTCTTGTGGAAACAAACAATTATGATACCCTATTTTTAAATTTGGTCTTGGTTAGAATATGTACCCTAAGTAAATATTATAGTCTCTTTTAGCAGTTTTAAAGAATTTTTAAAGGATGGGATTCTGTTAATATGGGGGTTTTAAAATGACCCCTGAACTAGCTATTAAATCTTATGCAAGTAAGAAAAAGTTTAACAAATAGTTACAAACCTGTTAACAGAAAATTTCAATCAAATGTATACTTACACTGTATCTTGCTACTTTAAATTTGAATTTAGAAGTCTGTTTGGTGAAGCAAAGAGCTTCTCTATAGAAGTTGAAAAGCTTAAAACTTGCAGGAACTAGTGATTTTTAACCTTGAGATTGAAACATATTTGTTGTAGGAACCTAAAATTTTATAGAAAATTGGTTTTCCTCTTAATATATTGCTCGTAGGGGGCTGATTTCATACCCTAACTGTGTTGTTATTAACCCACTATGACATCATCTAGGCCTAATCAGCTCAAGCTGTAGAAAAAGACTCTAGATTTCCATAACACACTAGCAGTGGTTTTGCTGGTGGAACATTTGGCGATATCTAGAGACATGTTTGGTTGTTACAAAAGGGGAGTGCTTTTGGCATCTAGTGGGTACAGGGTGGGGATGCTGCTAAACATTTTAAAGTAACAGCCCAGCCACCACCAGCAACAATAAATTATATAGCTTAAAATGTCAATACTATTGAGGTAGAGGAAACCTGCTTTTAAAAAAGCATTTTCTTGAAAAAGAGGAAAGTTGATTTCCTGATTTCAAAACTCACTTCAAAGTAACTGTCTCAAGACAGAGTGGTACTGGCATAAGAATGAATGAATTAAAAAGATTATATATCTTTTAAATGTGAAGTTTTTTTTCCTGTGTCCTCAATTATGTAAATATACCTTCACATTTAAAGTCAATTGATTTTCAACAAGGGTACCAAAAGAATTCAATGGTGAAAGAAAAATCTTTTCACAAAAAGACTGGAACAACTCAATATCCACATGCAAAGAACAAAGTTGGAGCCCCTGCCTCACACCATATACAAAAATTAACACAAAATGGTTCAAGGACCTAAATATATGAGCTTAAAATATGAAACTCTTAGAAAACAAAAAAGGGTAAATCTTTGTGACCTTAGATTTAGCAATATTTTTATTATAACACAAAAAGCTCAAGCAATGCTCTTACTTTATTAACAGTAGCAAAAATAGATAGATTTTCAGTTAATTCCAATTATATCCTGAGCCTCTAGAATGTGATTTTTCTGAATGATGTATGGGGACCTTGGAAAGTCTAAACTCACCAATGCTTTGTCCATCATCCCAGAACATCTGACCTTCAGCTTTCCCATTGTCATCCAAAGCAACAATCAATCCCATAAATAGTTGTCGACTATGAAAAAAAAAAGTTATTTTTCTCTAGATTGTAAGTTGTACAAATAAATGACAGATTCTATTGAAAAATATGATTAATTCAGGAAAATAAGATAATAGCTTTAAAATGCACAGAAAGCTCCATAAATACATAATATGAGATAAAATACAAAATAATTAAAAGCTAATGGGAAAACATTTTAAATTTAATAAAATATTTGGCAAAACTTCAACTTTCAAAAATTAAATACACATCCTTTACTCATATACATATTATAAGTAATATGATAAGAAACTACTTTTTAAAAATACATTTTTATTGATTTCAGAGAGGAAGGGAGAGGGAGAGAGAGATAGAAACATCAATGATGAGAGAGAATCATTGATTGGCTGCCTCCTGCACTCCCCCTACTGGTGATCAAGCCTGCAACCCAGACATGTGCCCTTGACCGGAATCAAACCTGGGACTTTTCAATCTGCAGTCTGATGCTCTATTCACTGAGCCAAACTGGCTAGGGCAAAACTACTTCTTTTTAGAAAGAAGACACCCTGCCCCAAATAAAATAAAAACAAAACACATCCTTCAGTAGCTTCCATATTGCTGCAGAATAAAATGCAGCATACTTATCCTAGCATTCATAATTCTCCATGACCTCATCCTAACCTGTTTGAACTTTATTTTATCCCTCTCTTTTATCTTTTTTTTTAAAAATATATTTTATTGATTTTTTACAGAGAAGAAGGGAGAGAGATAGAGAGTTAGAAACATCGATGAGAGAGAAACATCGATCAGCTGCCTCCTGCACATCTCCTACTGGGGATGTGCCCGCAACTCAGGTACATGCCCTTGACCGGAATCGAACCTGGGAACTTTCAGTCTGCAGGCCGACGCTCTATCCACTGAGCCAAACCGGTTTCGGCACCTCTCTTTTATCTTGCTCCAGTTTACTGAATGGTTTACTATTCCCCAAATCCAAATAATGTTTCAACTTCAGTTCTTTAATTCTCTTAGAATATCTCTTTCCCTCATTTTCAAACACTCAAATCCTATTTATTATCCAAACTCAGCTCAAAGCCCTCTTTCATATAAAACCATGCTTTGTACAAGATTTAAAGTTAACTTCTCTCCTTTTGAGTTGACTCTCTTGATATAACAGGTTCTTCTTAATATGATATGATATGTATGTATAATATATATATATATATATATATATATATATATATATATATATCTAGAGGTCCAGTGCACAAAAATTTGTGCACTAGTGGGGGGGAAGGGGGGGCCCCTCAGCCCAACCTGTGCCCTCTCGCAGTCTGGGACCCCTCGGGGGATGACCACCTGCTGGCTTAGGCCCGCTCGCCGGGGGATTGGGCCTAAGATGGCAATCAGACATCCCTCTGGCAGCCCGGCAGTCCTCGGGGGATGTCCATTTGCCAGCGGGGAGCAAGCCTAAACTGCAGTCAGACATCCTTAGCACTGCTGAGGAGGCAGGAGAGGCTCCCACCACCACCGCTGTACTGGCAGCCATCAGCCTGGCTTGTGGCTGAGCAGAGCTCCTCCCATGTGAGAGTGCACTGACCACCAGAGGGCAGCTCCTGCATTGAGCGTCTGCCCCCTGGTGGTCAGTATGTGTCATAGTGGCCAGTCATTCCCAGTCTCTCTGCTGTTAGGGTCAGTTTGCATATTACCCTGTTACTATATAGGATAGAGGCCTGGTGCATGGGTGGGGGCCGGCTGGTTTGCCCTGAAGGGTGTCCCGGATCAGGGTGGGGGTCCCGCTTGGGTGTCTGGCCAGCCTGGATGAGGGGATGATGGCTGTTTGCAGCTGGTCACACCCCCTTCAGGGTGGGGGTCCCCATTGGGGTGCCTGGCCAGTCTGGGTGAGGGGCTGAGGGCCATTTTCAGGCTGGCAGGTGACTGAAGCTCCCAACCTCTCCATTTTTCTTTTTTTTTTATTCTGGGATTTATTTACCTTCTATGGCTGTCACTGGAGCTGAGAGCCAGCTTTAGCTCTGAGGCTCAGCTCCAGCTCTGAGACCTCAGCTGCTGAAAGCAGGTATCTGGGCTTTGTTTAGCTTCTATAATTGCAACATAGTTGCTTAGAGTGCAGCTCAGAGCTGGGCGGCGGCAGGCGGGGAACCTTGGCTTCCTCCATCACTGGAGCAAGCAAGCCTCCTGTTCGCTTCAGCTGCTTGGCTGCCGGCCGCCATCTTGGTTGGCAGATAATTTGCAAATCGCCCTGATTAGCCAATGGGAAGCGTGTCAGAGGTACGGTTAATTACCATGTTTGTCTATTATTAGATAGGAGAGAGAGAGAGAGAGAGAGAGAGAGAGAGAGAGAGGTGGGGGGGCCAATGCACAAAATTCATGCATGGTGGGGGTGTCCATCAGCCCAGCCTGCACCCAGTTTAGGCCCAATCAGCACTTGGCCTAAACTGGCACTTGGACATCCTTCTCACAATCCAGGACTGCTGGCTCCTAACTGCACACCTGCCTACCTGCCTGATCGCCCCTAAACACTCTGCCTGCCTGCCTTATTGACCCCAACTGCTCGCCTGTCTGCCTGACTGCCCCTAACCACCTCCGCCTGCCTGCCTGATCACCCTTAACCACTCACCTGCCTGCCTGATTGCCCCTAACCACTCTGCCTTCCTGCCTGACTGCCCCTAACTGCTTGCCTGCCTACCTGATCACCCCTAACTGCCTCTTCCTCAGCCCCTGCTGCTGCGGCTTCGTCCAGAAGGACATCCAAAATGACGTCTGGAAGGTCGTTCGGCTGTCCCATCTAATTAGCATATTACGCTTTTATTATTTCGTATATATATAAAATCTCTTCTGGGTCAACCCAAGCTGAATGGGAGTGAGCACTAAATCCCTGTATAGCCATCACAAATCAAAGAGCTCATCAATATTTCTCAATTTTTTAATAGTATAGAAAGAAGTATATGCTGCTGCCCCAGCAAATTTTTGTCCTGGACCTCTGATGTAGCGCTACAGATAAATGATCTCCCCAAGCCTAACTTCATGAACTCATCCTACCCCAGGTCCCACTCAGAAGGCACTCACAGAACCAAAGCAGTGAAACTGCCTGTGATTTGGATTTTAGCCACAGAGCCCCAGTTGAGGTGGCCAGCCCCCATGAGGCTGCCTCACTGTGTCAAAGTGAGGCCATCAGACACTGCCTCTCTCTCTTACCTGGAGTGAGTGTTCATTGCAGCCTCCTGCCAAGGCAAGATGTAGCCTCCTCTGATATGAAGGTTGATGTGGTCAAGGGGAGCCTCCAGGATTCTCCACTCACCTGTCGATGTATTGCCAGATTCCTAGAATGGAGAATGCAGGCAAGCATCTATAATAGATGGATGAAATGAATGCATGCTATACAACAAGTCCTTCCTTCCCAAGGAAGTGTTTTTGGAAAGTTATCAAAATACCGCAAATTGAGCCCTAACTGGTTTGGCTCAGTGGATAGAGTGTTGGCCTGCGGACTGAAAGGTCCCAGGTTCGATTCTAGTCAAGGGCATGGTTGCGGGCATATCCCCAGTAGGGAGTGTGCAGGAGGCAGCTGGTCGATGTTTCTAACTCTCTATACCTCTCCCTTCCTCTGTAAAAAAAATCAATAAAATATATTTTTTTAAAAATACCGCAAATCGAAAAAGAAAATCTCTGTTTTCAGCTTTGCTGAAAACTCTGGAAATCTAGTCTTTTCTCTTTATTCTCCAGAAAAGGTAGGGTGTGGGGGAGAACTCAATGTGATATGGGTATCAGATTTTACCTAGTTATGCTTTTATGGATATTTTTTATTGATTTTTTTTTTGAGAGAGAGAAAGAAAAACATAAATGTGAGAGAGGAACGTTGATTGGCTGCCTCCCACACACCCCCAACTGGGGATGGAGCCCTCTGCTCGGGCATGTGCCCTGACCAAGAATTGAACAGCAACTTTTCAGCACATGGGACAATACCGTGTACCACACCTGCCAGGGCATTTTATGGACACTTTTATTTAAAGAAATCTTGCAGGACTGAAAAGTTGAAAATTATTGCTTTATAAAATAGGTGCCTGGAATTCAGGAGACAACTTCCTAGCCTGCATAGACCAACCTGGTTCTTCACAAAACATGTTAGTTCTTACCATGCTATAGTCATACCAACGGGCTCTGGGGAAATAAGCACGGACCTCAAAAGTGTTCTGAAACAGAAAACCAACAGGTCATTCCAAATATCTCAATAATGTCACTTTAATTTTTAAAATTCTGTAGAATTAACATAAAAATGGGAATTTCACTAATGATTTTAAGAGTTTGGGTAATTTTATTAAGAAAGATCCCAGGAAATTCATTTCAAACACACAGAAAAATATATTTTTTTAAAAGAAGGTCAACTTTATAAGGATGCAAGGTGACAAGACATTAAAACAAGAAGCTAATTGAAGATGTTAAGTTTTCATTAACAAAGACCTCAAAAAAAGAAAAGGATTTCCCTGAAATATTCTAGAAGTAGTGAGCTGAACAAGATGATCTTTCAAATGCCCTTCCTGTTTCCTATATGTGATTGGAGGGTCTATGATCTATGATGGGAACTCACACTTGTTAGCACGGGGCTGATTAAGATGGCAGGGCCCAGCATGAACTGACGGTCTATATCCCACGTTGTCCTATCTTCTCTAAACCTTAAAAAACAGGCATAAAATGTCTACTCAGATTGTTATGACTGTTGCAGAGGGTTATTCATACAACATGCCCAGACCTGCTGCTTGGGGAAACAGGCTCTACTCACTCATGGAGGAGAGGGCGGACAACAGTGCTGCCCTCAACGTGAGCTTTGTGCATCAGAGTATAGAGGTAAGGCAGCAGGGTGTATCTGGTCTGGAGGACTTTTCTTGAGTACGTCTGAAAGGTTGAATTCCAGGCCACAGGATCTTGTCTCTAAGGGGATAAAGGAGCATATCACACAGATCACCTCTTTTTTACTCTGTCCTAATTGTATCAGAAAAGTACCTGAAGGCACATGGCCCATGGTTAGGCTACACACCATTTCTCCTTTCATTTCTAGCCTATCCTTTCCCCCACTCCCACCACCTTAATAAACTAGAGTGTCCTGCTTCCTCCTCTCTATCATGGGCTCCTTAGTCCCCTGCTCAGGTCTAGTCTTGACCCTGCACATGTGTAGAGAGATGGGTCTCTATGAGGTACTAACCTATCTTGGATGGATTTGAGCAAAATACTCACTATTCTTAAAGGCAAAGGAAATTTCTTTTATTTCAGCTATTTTTATATCAACTATTCCACCAAAAGATGAGGAAAAGTATATTCTTGAAAATCATTGGTAATCATAGTTTTTTTTATTAACTCTGTGGGTTTTCTTAAGAAATGGAGATTCTGTTGATTTTTATGAGTTTTCTCAACAAATAATTATGATACTTTTGAGCATTAAGAAGAAAGTTGTGATTTGAGGACACAAAACACCTGGGGCATAAACTGCTGCCTCACCCTTGTCCCGATGGTGTTGTGGTTCCTGGAAAATGGATAAAACGCCCCCAGTTGCATCCAGCGAAGACACATCTCATAGTCAGCATTTCCCAAGAATCCACAGATATTTGCTCCTGTCTGAGAAGATGCAAAATCAGGGCAAGAGGTGGGACTGTTATAGGGGCAGACACACTGAATCTGACTGGGTCATTAGTAATGGCCCCAATATGACTTACATAAGGTATTCCAAAGAGACTGAACTCCATCATGCCTGCAATGAGAAGAGATAGCTGTGTTGGACTAAGCAGTCCTTTGGGAGGGTAGGTTTGCCCTGTCTCTTCTGTCCCCCATTTGAAAGCCTTGGGCCAGTCATGATGAACAAATAAAAAGATGGGTATAGATTAAAACACACACCAATAGAGAACTCAGCACCTGTTGATCACACTGTCTATAAGCATGATGATTAGACACAACACATGCAGATGAGGAGCAAACATCCCAGGCTCTTCCCCGCCAGCAGAAGCCCCTGGGATAAGCCACACACCGATGATAGACTTCCTCAGCTGGTCCCATGCAGCTGTGTTGTCTCCCAGCCAGTGTCCTGCCCAGCGGCCAGAAGAGGGGAACGTGGAGCGGGTAATGACGACCCCTCGCTGATCCGTCACCTCCTGCACAGCTCTGGTTGGAGGGGAACAAGGAAGGGGAAGAAGGTGAATTTGAGGATTGACACCAATGGAACTTCATTAAGGAGCCTAGCTTCAGCCTGGAGCATGAGGCAGCAATGGGGCTCAATTTTAGCCAGAGAGCTTCTTCCCTGAAAGCATCTGCTAAGAGTCCCAGTGAACTTCAGAACCAGACAATTGGAGATATGGCATCACCTAAAATGTAAATTTCCTTTCTTAAAAGAAAATCTAGCACTGGCCAATGTGGTTCTGTTGGTTGGGCATTATCCATGCACTGTGAGGTCTCCTTTTCAATTCCAGTCCTGGTCAGGGCACATGCCCGGGTTTCGGCCTCAATCCCCAGTAGGAGGCAGGCAGAAGGCAGTCGATCAATGTTTTGTTCCCTTCCTCTCCCTCTAAAAATCAATTTAAAAAAAACTTTTAAAAATCTAGTTAGTTGCCCTAGCCGGTTTGGCTCAGTGGATAGAGCGTCGGCCTGCGGACTCAAGGGTCCCAGGTTCGATTCCGGTTAGGGGCATGTACCTTTGTTGCGGGCACATACCCAGTGGGGAGTGTGCAGGAGGCAGCTAGCTGATCGGTGTTCCTCTCTCATCGATGTTTCTAACTCTCTATCCCTCTCCCTTCCTCTCTGTAAAAAATCAATAAAATATATTTAAAAAAAAAATCTAGTTAGCTAGTTGTCCATATGGGAGTAAGAAAAGGGGGTAAGACCGATGTAATTATGGAACAATTACTCTATTCCAGGTATTATATGGGTTACTTTCATGTGTACTGTCGCACTACGTCACAAGAAAGGTTCCTTTTACCATTTTGCACTGTTTGGAAACTGAGGTTCAGAGAAGTTAGATAATTAGTCAAAAGTCACTTAAACAGCAAGAAGACAGGTTTGGTATCCAAATAAAAGCATATATGACTATAGCTTTTTTGGTAATATTCACTCTCCCATGCAACTCCTCAAAAAGCAGAATCAATTTTGCACATAGAAGCAAATATATAGAAAAGATGTTTAAGTATTTCTTGATTGAAGGTGGATCTTCGCCTGCAGCCTCAGTCAGAAAATACAAACAATTGTGTGAGAGAAAAATCAGTGGAACAAAAGACAAAGTCAATTAACAGATGCTGGTATATGAAGCAACACAAATATTTGCTAAATGCAGAACTACAAATCAATAGACACAGATGACTGATTCAATAAATGATGTCAGGAAAAGAAGCTAGCTATTGTGGTGGAAACGAACCCATTTAGGTCACTTCCAATATTTCACACCACAGTGAATCCCAAAATGGGATTATCTGATCACTGAATTATACTGAATAATATCCAAGGGTATCCAGGGAAGCCAGGCTTAAGAAATGAAAGAGAACTTTTAAAAAAGAGGGTATCGGAGAATTCAGTGGCCACAAACTGCAGGGGAACTGAGAATATACAGAGTTAGACAGAAACGCTGCTAACAAATAAGCAACAAGTGAAAAAACAAAAAGAGCAACAACAAAACAAGCCCTGTGGAGGTAGATTTTATGCCAGAGTTGTTACAGTGCATTATATAACATTAAGTCATGCAAAACAAAACAAAAGCACCTGAAAGTATGTCAGATACACAAGAAAAGAAAAAACAACCAACAGAAAATGTTATTGAGGGGCTTGGTCGACAAAAGACTTTAAGTTAGTTATTACATGTCCGAAGAGCTTAAAGGAAGCATATCTAAATAATTAACAGAAAGTATGACAATGATTTCCTGCTAAATAGAGGATGTCAATAAAGTAACAGAACTTGTTTAAAAAGAAACCAAACAGAAATTCTGGAGTTGAAAAATAAAATAACTAAAATTTACTGAAGAGACTGAGCTCAACATCCGATGTGAGGTAGGTGACGAAAGAATCAGCATAATTGAAGATAGCAATCCAGTTGGAATAGCAAAAAGAAGTAAAAAATAAAAAAAATGTAAGCAGAATTTTAGAGACCATCAAATGTACCAACATACATATAATTGGACTCCAAGAAAAGAGAAAGAGAAAAGGGTAGAAAAATATTTTTTTAAAATAATGGCTAGACAAAGAAGGGAAGGAATTAGCTAACGGAGATGTATGCATACCCATGAACACAGACAATAATTTGGTAAAGGCTAAGGAAGGGGTAGGTGGGGGAGGGTGGGTGTTGGAAAAGGGAGTGGTGGTGGAAGGGAGGACTCCTGCAACAATGTCAACATTAAATATTTTTTAATAAAAATAAAACAAAATTAAATTAAAATAATGGTCAGAAATATATACACTGAAAACTATAAAACATTGCTGAAAGAAAATGAAATGAGATCTAAAGAAATGGGAAGACATCCCATGCTGATGGATCAGAAGACTTACTATTATTAAGTTGGAAATACTCCCTAAATAGCTCTACAGATTCAGTGCAATCCCAACCAACATCCCTGTTACTGTTTTGCAGAAATTAACAAGCTAATCCTAAAATTCATATTAATTGCAAAGCACCCAGAATAATTTTAAAAACCTTGAAAAAAGAATACAAAAGGCAACATACTGTATGATTCCATTTACATGTATATGAAGTGTCCAGATTCAGCAATCTATGTATATAGAAGGTAGATCTGTGGTTGCTCAGGGTCAGGAGGTAGGGACAATGGTAGAAAATGACTACTATAGGGTTGGTATAGAGTTTCCATTTAGGATGTTAAAAAATGTTCTAGAATTTGATTGTAGTTATTGCTGTACAATTCTATGAATATACTAAATACAGCCTAACTGCTTACATTATTTTTTAAATTAAGTGTATTTGACATATAACATTGTATAAATTTAAGCTGCACAACATTAATTTGATACATTTATATATTGTAGTAAGATTGCCATTATAGCAATTATCAGCACCTGCTCACTTTATTTTTATTGAATTAATTGGGGTGACCTTGGTTAATAAAATTATATAGGTTTCAGGTGTACAATTCTATAATACATCATCTGTATATTGTATTGTGTGTTCACTACCCCAAATCAAGTCCTTTTCTACCACCATTTATCCCCTCTTTACCCTCTTCTGCCTCTCCTCACCCCTCCTTCCCTCTGGTCATCACCATACTGTTATCTGTGTCTATGAGTTTCGTTTTTTGTTTTCGCTTAATCTTTTCATAGTTTTCACTCAGCCCCCCAACCCCATGCCCCTCTGATGGCTGTCAGTCTGTTCTCTGTATCTATGAGTCTGTTTCTATTTTGTTTGTTAGTTTATTTTGTTCATTAGATTCCACATAAAAGTGAAATCATATGTGTACCTGCACATTTTAAACAGGTGAATTTAGCAACCTACTTGGTTAATACAACTCAGAAGTGGTGTGGCTGCTTAGGAAACCACTCCTGCTATTTTGACATTCATCCATTTAATATATATATATATATATATATATATATATATATATATATAATTTATTTATTTATATATGACAAGACAAAAGTAACAGTGTGGAAAATGACCCTTCTGACAGTGACTAAGCATACTCACTCGTATGTGGGTCTGGTCTGGGACCACCCGTACAGGCTGTGCACATCGTAGTGCCGCACCCGGGAGCCATCATGCAGGATCTGCTCGCTCTCCATGCACAGGGTCTTGCTGCTGAGACCCCTGTCCCTGGACTCCAAATCTAAGAGGAAATGCTGAGTTATATTCTGAACAACTTGATCTGCACATTCACTAGAAATGCCCATCATCTTGGCATGGCTCTATTTCAAACACCTTTATCACCAGTAGCAGCTCCAATTTCAAGAATTTCTTTTGTCTGATAAAAACAACCATGTTCTGTGACCTTGTAACTAATGAAGTATAAGGGCAGGGAATGGAGCTGGTAAAGGCATCCTTCTTTATGCTCCAACTCTAACATTTATGGAGTATGATCCATGCTCCTTTATCAGCATCATACATTCTTCTGTTTTATGACTGTATCTTCCACTAGATGGTAATGTTCTCAAGGGAATGAATCTTGTTTCAACCAACTTTATATTAATCTTGCTAAATCATTCTGATTTGTCAATACTTGCCTGATACACTAATCTTACATTAAGGGAAGAGGAGAAAATAAGGAAGGAAGGAAAAGGAAGGAAGGAAGGAAGGGAGGGAGGGAGGGAAGGAGGGAGGGAAGAAGAAAGGGAATTACCAAACAATAGGAAACATAGCAATGATGTAGACATTAAAAAACTTGGATTCCAGATTTCATCCCCAAAATTACTGGTATAGTGCTTGTAGGAAGGTGAGTCACTTCCTTCTCATGTTTCTGTAAGGGGAGAGAGTTCAACTCTCTGAGATGCCTTTGATCCCCAGGTCCTGTAGTCTCTATTGCTGTTTGTATCATAGGACAACCTGGGCATGCCCTTCATCAAGTGTCTGTGAACACAGGCAGAGAGAGGGCAGTGACTAGATTTTCATTCTCTAATCAAAAAGGGTGTGTGTGTGTGTGTGTGTGTGTGTGTGTGTGTGTGTGTGTGTAGGGGGTTACTTAAAGTTATAGCAATCAGTTCATAGTTATCGATGTAATCAGATGTACCATTCATTGCTTGGATTCTTTCATACCACATCAAGTCATTATTTCTATGCTTGATCCATAATTTAAGTATTTGTACTTATTCAAGGTTATTCTATTTGGGATTTTATCTCATGTTTAAGAGTGTTTTCTCTCTCCAAAATGAGGCTTCACTTTGACAACAAGAGGAAAACGTAAGGGGTTTTGAGCAGGGAAGTAATTTAAGGAAGCAATCATTTTACATACATGGCATATACGGTGGCTTATTAAGAATTTCATCATGGCAGCCACTGACAGATCCATCCACAAAGTTTGATGGCTCATTCTTATCCTGAAATGAATTAGCAAAACAGATTCCATGATGTCAGAGGAGACAGAGTGGCCTTGGCTCAGGAGAACACTGCCCTCCTAGAGACAAAAGGATCTTATTTAAACTCTCACACAGCTGGTTGCTTCATTGATTCCGTGGGGAAGAACTGGGATGCTGCTATGCCTCCCATCCCTCGAGACACACAATAGAAGAGCCTTGGACACGTGTCCCAGAGACATCTCAGGAAGCCCTGGTCTTATGCCCAACTGACATGCATAACAAATATCTGAACAGGCCTTTGAAACCATTCCCTCGGAGGACCAGCACTCTGGTGAGCATCTATTTCACCTCAGATTCAGGCCTTCTTGCCCCTAGGTCTGCTGTATCACAGATGGTCTCTCAGGCTCCCTTACTGTTGGCTTCTGGGGAGGTTTGGCCAATGGGAGGCAGTGGCAAGAGATTAGAGGATGGGAGCTAAGAGAAGACAGGATATTTGTGCCTTTTCATCTGGCATCATCTCTAGTGGTGGCATGTCTCCCCATTAGTCTTCAATGTCCTCTACCCAGTATGTCCCTGGGCAGACCTACAACTCCCTCTGCTCCTCTTGGTGGTCCCAGCACCTCCATTCTGTACCAGCATCCCTCTCTTTCACTCCTCCAGCCTTAGCTACCTGCTTTGCTAGTTTCTGAATTGCCTCCTACTGCTTGTACTTCTAGCATTTCCAAAGAAAACACACTAAGGATGCACTTACGATCCACAGTCCATCGAACTTCAAGCTCTTTGGGTTTGTATAGAGCTTTCTTATTTCTTCCTTCCACCAAGCAGCTGTGCTGTTTCGCAGGAAGTCAGGATACGCGATGTGGGCTTTGTACATCTGGAAGAGTAACACAGACTCTCACACTGGGTCTCTGCCTGTTCAGGAAGGGGAGTGTGGGGACTAGAAAGGGGAGGTGCTTGTGCAAAGTACTGCCACCCTCCTCTCATCCCCCCCACCACTGTGAGACCTAACCCACTTCTGCTGCTGCTTCACAGAATTTACTGTGGACACAAAGAGATCAGAGGAGGCTTTAGAGCTGCAGATGCTTTTTCTACATTGGTCAAATGAAGGAGACCAGTCATCCAGGGAAAAGTGAGCTACAGAGTGAGCTACAAGCTGATGTGACATCAAGTGCCAAGATGAAAAACATTACTCCTTTTAACTGGTTTACATGTGGACAATTCATTGAAACTCGAATACTATGTGGCTGCAAAAAAAAAAGAAGGATCTCTTACCATTTGCAACAGCATGGATGGACCTGGAGATTATTATTTTAAGCAAAATAAGCCAGTCAGAGAAAGACAAATATCACCTCGAATCTTGTTGCCATAAACCAACCAACTGGGGCCCAAAAAAGGAATTAAAAGAGACAAAAGAAGGAGGATAATACATAAGATCTATTGATTCATTTAAACATGATGGCTGATTAAGCATCATAGGCCAAAGATGAGTATACATCTGGGGTATGGGTGACTGGGAGACACAGATTTCAGAGCCATTCTCAAAGGTATTATTTATGGGTGTTAAATGACCAGCTGGCATACATAAGGGGTGGAACGCCAGAATATTTCCAGGCAATAAAACAAAACTCACTGATAGAGGATTAGACCTTTGACCTTGATCTCATGAATGTTCATTAAGTAATCAGTATCACACAGATTTCTATTCATTTATAATTTATAAATTACCCAATACATTTTGCTAAGATTTATGAAGAGCCTCTTTCAATCAAAATATTGTGATGCTGATTAATTACAGGCATCTCCTCCCAATCCTTACCTCTCCCCAGACAATGTCACTGCTGTTAGGCCATTTGATGAATACATTGTTTTCCTGCCCTCTGGTGAATGGGAGATACTTGGTCTCGTTGCGAGAAATGCCTGGATTCTGAAACAAAAGGGTTTAAAACAGAAAACATGAGAAAAATATTTCCAACAAAAATGATCTCCAAAATGTTAACAATTCGTGGTACAGAAAGAAATGGTGAACTTCAAAATAGACACACAAACAAAAATACAACCCAGATTAATTTGCCTATGTCTATTGATAGTTGAGAGTAAAAGAACATATTGATGTTTCTCTATAAAATTCCCAAGGGGGGAAAAAAAGCATGCTAATGTTTGAAAAAAAATTCCTGGAGAGAAACTAGGTTAACAAGACATTACCCTCACATAGAGAAAGGTAATTTACTGTATTTCAATAGTGTCATAGCAATATTCCCTAAAAATGTGAAACTTCTTTCTTCTATTCTGTGGCCAGACTGTCCATCTAAAGTGGCCTTCCCATTAACCTCATCCTTTACCTGCTCCAATTACTTTCTATAATAGTATTCTATTTCACAACTGTCATATGAATCATTACTGCCTAAAATTATATTTTTAATGTTTATTAATTGGTTGTATTCCTCCAATCCTACATAATAAAAGCCTAATATGTAAATCAACTGAACAGTGAAACAACCAGTCACTATGATGTGCACTGACCACCAGGGGGCAGAAGCTCAACACAGGAGCTGCCCCCAGCCAGCAGGCCCCAGGCCAACCAAGGTGGGTGCCAGGGGAGGGCCCCCCCATCATCCCACTGGTCACCCCACAGATTGGCCCTGATCACCGGCCAATGAATGAATAAATTTCGTGCATTGGGCCTCTAGTATTATATAATCCCTGTAAGGACATTGTTTTCTTAATGAATTTAGATTGCAAGCACACACACACACACACACACACACACACACCTTTTATAATGGTAATTTTCAAAGACTCAGGGCTTAACAAATACTTACTTGAATGAATAAATGAACCGACAAACAAAAGTCAGCAAATAATGCTCTAATTTTTGGAAGCTATAAGAGAGGACCATTTGTAGGTAACTACTTCTGTATTTAATCAAGAAATAACTTCCAATGTGAAATAATAAATTGGTCCTCTGGACCTTCACTAGGTTGTTTGTGAATTTAATTAAGAAGAAATAAGTCCCCTGAGCCTCACCATTGCTGGGTGATGACAAAACAGGTTTTTGAAAACCCCACAGTAAAGACAAGACTAAAATACAGCTATTCTAAGGCACAGCCTGAAATGGAGAGACTTTTTTTGTTGTTGCTATATTCAGTGTTTTAGCTCACAGTTCTTCTAATTCTATCAAGAGAACAGTAACAATAAATTATACTCAGTCATTAAAAATAAATATTGTAAAGCATCATCTTTTAAAAAACCTTTTTATTGTTTTTTCCTCCTTTATTTGCTTTTTCAAACTTAAAAAAGTAATTATAGATCCACAGGAAGTGGCAAAAATGTACAGGGAATTGTCCTATACTCTTCATCTCATTTCCTTCAATGGTGCTATTTTTAAAACATGAACACAAAAATTGAGATTTAATATTTGTAAGTACCTACCAGAACGAGGACAAATCTTGTGCCATTTTTCTTCATTCGCTCCATCAGCAGACTAAGGTTTTGAAAGCTGGTGCTGAGGGTGAAGTCCAGCTTCCGGTCCATGTAATCGATGTCTACATGCTGAACATCCTAGAGGAAGGGCAAGCAAGGTGTTGGGGGGTCCTGCAACAATAACCTCAGGGCACACACACTGCTCTGCCAGGCTCCAGGTCTGCTGCTTGTAGACTCCAGTCCAGGTCCCTCCAAATTTACCTCATTACTCCACTAGACCCACTTGTCAATTCTGCTGATTAAATTTGCTGATTCTTGCGTACAGATCACCTGTTCCCATTCCTTCTGCTTCTGCCTCCCCGCCCGCCCCCCCCCCCCACACACACACACACACTGGAATTCTCTCCCCTTTCCTTCCCTCAGTTCATGTCTTTTCCACTCTTCAAATCTCAAACATGGTAAGCCTATCAAAAAAAAGTGCTAGTTAAATGTCCAAGGGTAAAAAGCAGACTCCCCTGAGAAACAAGATTGTATACTTGTTTTCTCTTTTTTCCTCCAGTAAACCTGATTACATTTATTCACAATTAAGAACTACATTATTTTATAGCATTCTAAAATGTATATACTATTTCCACCATCTCCAGTTGTTTGGATGGTCTTTGAGATGAAAATCTTTCCTTCTCTTTTCTCAATACAATGCCAACCAACCTAGGTTTCTGCACATGAAATGTACCCAATTCAAGATTGTTGAATGATGGCTATGTGGTTAATATTCAGTTGAAACAAGAGATGTTTCTCTTTAGCTTAAAGGTGGTAATCACCTGTATTGTCTTAAGACTCTAGGTCAGTGGTTCTCAACCTGTGGGTCGCAACCCTTTGGAAAACACATATATAATTACATATTGTTTTTGTAATTAATCACTATGCTTTAATTATGTTCAATTTGTAACAATGAAAATACATCCTGCATATCAGATATTTACATTACGATTCCTAACAGTAGCAAAATTACAGTTATGAAGTAGCAACAAAAATAATTTTATGGTTGGGGGTCACCACAACATGAGGAACTGTATTAAAGGGTCACGGCATGAGGAAGGTTGAGAACCACTGCTCTAGGTAAAACTTGTTTGAGGGAGCAGAGACTTGTGCATAAGTCAAAACTTAGAAAAGAATGAACCAACATATTATTAACATTGGTTGCATTGGCAAGCTAAATCTATGGAATTTTTTCATCTTTTCATTTTCCTATCTTTTCTAATTTATATTTAGGAATATCTAGCATAATAGTATCTGAAAAGAAAAAATAAGTCTGGGTGAATGTTTCAAATTATCTTTGATGAGGACATTGTAATAATTTATTCTCATCTTCTAATCATGAATTGTCCTCCAAATCACAGGAGGTGAGTTAAAAGTAGAGAAAGAAAATATGTAATGAGAATTTGACTATTATAAGAGAGAATGAGCATGCTATGTGTGGAATTCTGTTTGTTGACAGTAATTGACTGCACTTCTAGGGGCTACGTTTCATTGTGGGAAATGCATATATGAGTATTTGTATTTAAGTCAAAGTGAAGGCTTGAATTTATCTCCTTTTTTTCATATTGTCACTTTATATTCACCTTCTCCAAAAATAATCACAGTATAGTCTCCTAAAATTGTCACAACCTTGATATGATTCTCTCTTAGAAGTCTCCAAAGTCATGGCTTATGACTAACCATGGTTACTGTAGGATATTTCTGGCAAGAGATAGTAAGTAGCAGTATCCTTTGCTAATTTCTGATGAATGTATGCCCTCAATTTTGGAAGGCAGCTATGCTCACCACTATACCACCAACGCCTCCAATTTTGAACTCTTGATTTAAAAAGGGTACTGTGACTTAAATTTGAAAAGCAATGTTTCCATATAAGATTAGCTCCATAGCTACATTTTCTTTGTACTGAAGTAGTCATCAGTAATGTCTATGAAGATGTTTTCAATTTATAATTAGCCATAAGTTCCCATAACTAATTAAACCACAGGCAGGGTGAAGGCTTCATACATAGGGAATCTGGGCTTCCACCATTTCATCATACAAATTGGAGATTTCGGTATCATTCTGGTATCCGTAGCGACTCAGCTGGAATCCCAAGGCCCAGTATGAAATCATTGCTGGCCGACCAATCAACTAGAATAAAAAAGAAAAACGGATCCAAGTAGATTCTTAGAGTAAAAAAAAGATAGTTGGCTTATGCTTGAAGCAACTTTAGCACTTCTACTTACTGCCTGTCTGATCTAAGAGGTCTCATAAATGTGGAACAATCATGGAGATGCAGAATGATAGAAAGTCTCTCTATATCCTAGAGCTTCCACTCTAAGAATCCTGAAAATTCAGTGGTTATTACTGATTAGAGATTCTTAGAAAGATTTTATAGCAAATAATTAAGAGACATATGGGATATTAATATCTTTTAACACTAAAACCCTACTCTCATAAAAAATTGTGATAACGTAGTAGGAATACTCAAGAACCATCCTATATAATAAAAGCATAGTATGCAAATTGTCCCCTCGACCGGGCGTTGTCTGGGAGTTCAACAAGGGGGTGAGGCTAGCAAGGGGAAAAGATTGAGGCCCCAGCCAGCATCAGTGGTGGCAGTGGCAGGCAGCCAGGAATTGAGGTGGGGAGAGAAGAGAGGGAGTACCCGGCTGGCAGCCAGCAGCTGCTACGGACCCTACCAGTGCACAAATTTCATGCACTAGGCCTCTAGTAAAAAATAAAATTGGCCCCCTAATTGGTTTGGCTCAATGGATAGAGCATTGGCCTGCCGACTGAAGGGTCCCAGGTTCGATTCCGGTCAAGGGCATGTACCTTGGTTGCGGGCACATCCCCAGTAGGGGGTATGCAGGAGGCAGCTGATCGATGTTTCTCTCTCATCCATGTTTCTAACTCTCTATCCCTCTCCATTCCTCTCTGTAAAAAATCAATAAAATATACTTTAAAAAAATAATAAAATAAAATTGGCTTTTCTCAGTGCTAAGAATGTGCAATATCCAATAAGCCTTGGATGGTTAATTAATGAATACAATGAATTCTGACCTCAGTGTATTGCTGAGTTACAAGCTCAGGAGTTGGCCCCAAAAATACATAAAAGTCCAAAATCCCTCCTGTGGTGCGGTATGTCAGGGCAGGAGTAGGCTGGAATGTCACATCTGTTAAAAAAACAAACACACACACACACACATACAAACATGAGGAGCATCTTGAGAACTATAAATTACCAAGACAAGGACTCTGCCCTAATATTTGCTATTTTCACTCTCTTCCTTTAGAGCCCACCTCCTCTGGAAAGTCTTCTTTCATGCTGTGGAATCAGAGATGGATTTTCAGGTACCCCAAACACAATCTCAATCTCAACCTTTTATAATGTTCTGTGAAAGGGAATTAAAGTGGCAAAGTCAAACAAGGTCATACCAAAGTAGAGACCATGTTTAGTCAAAATTTTACTCCCAATACCTGGCCTAGAGATTTTAATAAATCATAGATAAATGAATAAATAAAAGGTCGGGTTATGTGTTCCATTTCCCTGGCCATTGAACTTTCTTATTTCTATTGATATTCCAGATTCTGATAAAGTGGCTGCAGGAAAACTGTCTTTATCTTACCCATGGCATTACTGTTTAGCAGAAGCACTCCATGGGCATTGCCATCCTCCTCCAGTCCCATGTAGTAGGGGTGGACACCATAGGAATTCTTCTTGAACTGGGAGAGTCATGGGAGTAGATAAGTAACAAAAAGAGAAAATCCAAGAAATTCTGTCCTCCTCATAACCCAAACAGCCAACTCCTACTCAACACTGAAGATTTAGCACAATGTTATGTCCTTTATGAAAAATTCCTTGACCCTTCCTTCCACCCCAAGTAAAAAGCTAAGTGCCATCCCCCTCCACGCCCTTCTTGTTTATTATCACACACACACACACACACACACACACACACACACACGAGTGGGGCAAAAGTAGATTTACAGTTGTGAGCACGTAAACACAGAGTGTACACTTGTATTATTATGTGGTAATTATTGTATTATTTCACATATAACCCACCTATAAACCTACTTTTGCCCGACCCTATATTTATTTTCTAAAAGATTAAAAGACATTTAGGGACAGAAGGACATTACATAACATGTGGCCTATTTCATTTGAGAGCAGAATTTATCAATATAAGCTGAAGTTGATGAATAGGGTACATATGTGGATTAAAATAAATTTACACAGAGAGCAACTGATGGGTAATCTTATTCTTCTGTGCTTACCCCTGGTGGCTCATCTCGAGCAAATGTTCCCCATGTGTGCCAGCTAATGTTTCTTCTGAAAGTTGTGTGCTCAGTTTCCCCAAAGCCATAGATGTTCTCAGAGGGGAGGCGAGTAGAAATGGAAAGGAACATGTCATTGAAGGTGAAGCCCGGGAGCTGAGAATCCCAACTGCAACACAGAGGCATACCTGTGAGCAGAGCTGATCACAGGCTGGAGCAAACAGAGAATACAGTTCAGATGTCTAGTTGATTCAGAAGCCTCCTGAATGATTGCACACCTGGATCCAGGTTCAATTACTGTGAGATGACCCAGGTCATAAGAATGGCCATGACTCGCTACCACAGTTCTGTGTTTGCATTTTTATTCTGTGGATTGCAAGACTGGCAACTCCTTTTCTGATTAATTGGCCCTTAAGAGTGTCACTCATCTCTTTATTTCTAGATCTCATTGCCTGGTACATCAGCCTGAATCAATGAATAAGGTCTGAGCAAGTTTTCCAATAGAAAAGTATGAAACTCAGAATGACTTTTCTGGATTGGCCAAAGAACTTCTTACCAAAGAAGCCAACAGACAGAAAGTCAGACACATAGTCAAAGAGAGCCAAAGGCTGTCCACATGTGCACATACAGGTGACAGTTTCTAATAGGATAGGGGGCTTCAGCCTCAGGCAAATCCAGACCTGTGGATCATGCCATTCAGCAGCAGGTCAGGGATGAGAGGTGGCAATTCCTTTCATGCTTAACATTGTGAAAAGGCTTTAAGTCTATAGTGTCAATAGCAGCAAAGACTGCAAGACACCATTTCTCTCTCCTTAATACCCCTTACCCCTCTCTCCTGGCTCTTCTGTTATTATTTCTTAATGAGGCATATAGAGTTTTCTGTTCTATTTAACCAGAACAATGAGTAAAATATGTATTTTTCTTTTTCTGAAATCAAGCAACACTTAGTATTTTTAAGTCTTTGATTGCTTAATTGTTCTTGTTGAGCTAATGACTAATAAGAAATGAAATCCCCCTTGAAGTGTGTGGTGGGGGATAGATATCCTCTTTGTTTAAAAAACAAACACAAACATACACGTAGAGTGTTGAAGGTTAATATTTCACTTGCATTCATTAGAACCACTGCAATTAGATCTAAAACCACTCTAATTAGAACCGAATAAATGGTGCTTACATCACAGTGCTGGAGCTTTTTCGTTGAATCTGGATCCCGAAAGGATGGTTTTGAATCCTGACATCATACAGACGGTTTTCAGGTGAGCCAACAGGAGAGGAAGGGGTGTTCAGAGGCACTGGGACCTCGTACCTTTTATTAGTGGGATCATAGATCTGACAGTGAGAAAGAAGGAGACTTTCTGATGGAATCTCAAACCTAAAACCTCTCATACCAGCTCAAAATTCAGTTCCCATCAGGAAGCATCAAATATCCCAAAGAAAATAGATGTGAGGCCTACCCATCCACTGTGCCCAACACATCCTGAACTGGAAGAAAAAACACACAAAAAAACACCCTCAACAATACCCATCAAAGCCAGGGAGGGCACTACCTCTAAGGAATTTGTAATTTAAGGGTGTAGAATCTCATAGACAGAACGTGTGCATGTGTGTTTATGAGTGCGGTATGTGAACAGTATGTGCCCATAACTGTATAAGACTATGTGTGAGCATGTGTACATATGTTAGAAATTAGAGAACTGAGTTTTCATATGAACTATGAGATCTTCTTACTAGTTGAGCTTCCAGTTGCTGCTCAGCTTTTTCATTCCTAAGATTGTTCCTTTGTCCCTACCACTCATTTCTACCAACCTAACAGGGTTGCTGTGTGGGCAAAATGAGAGAAGGGCAAAGTATTATGCAAGGCCGGATAGTATTACTATTATGAGTGATCATCCTTTTTATCATAATAATATGAGCCCACATATTATGCTTAGGACAAGTTTTGTCGAAAGGCTCGATTCTCAATATTCTGTTTCTCAAACCAAAAGCAGCAATATTACCTGGGAGCCTGTTAGGAATGCAGAATTTTGGGCCCTACCCTAGACTTTCTGAATCAGAATCTTCATTTTCACAAGGTCCCTGGGGTGATTCACCCAACATTGAAATGTGAAAAGCAATGTCTAGAGTGAACTGTCCAAGGTGGTACCCACCAGCCATGTGCGGCCATTAAGCCTTGAAATGTCCTAGTCTGAGCTGAAACTCACTATAAATGCAAAATACACACCAGAATTTGAAGATTTAATCTGACCATAATCTAAAGTATCTCAATACGTAATTGTATTTGGATTACATGATGAACTGATAACATTTGAACAACTTGGTAAAATAAAATGCTATTAAAATCCATTTCACCTAATTTTTTCAATACATTTTTTAAAATATGGTTATCAGAAAACATATGTGGCTCACATCATATTTCTATTTTAGCAGAGTGGTGGTTCTCAAAGTGTGGCCTCTTAATTTGCAGCAGGAGCATCACTTGGGAATTCATTAGAAATGCAAGTTCTTGGAAACCCTGGGCAGGAACCCCAGCAATGTCTTTTAACAAGAGCTACAAGTGATTCTGATGCATGTTAAGTTGAAGTATCAACTGCTAGAGAAATAATTGTAATGTTGGAAATGAGTCAATGCCACCCATATGAGTTTACCAAAAAGCAGACACATTGTTCTCAGGGCTAATGTGTCTCAGTAATCCTTTGAGGATCTTTCTGACTTACAGAACCCTTCACTATAGGACATGGACAACCCTGGTGGATCTAAGGCCACACCCGACTATGATCTCCTGACTTTCTGGCCTTTACCTTTCTGGGCTTCAGCACCCTCAACTCTAAAATGAGGGATTTGGACTAAAAGATGTTTCAGTAATTTCCATCCCACAAGAACTCTGTGCTGATGACCAGAATCTGCAACACGGGCATTACCTTGAACTGCAGCATGCTTTCCGTGTGGTAGATCACGCTGATCCTAAGGGAGCTGATCTCTGCAGAAAGAGGGTGAGAGGTGGCGGCTGCTGCTGCAGGTGTATGTCGCGTGCTCCGTGGTGATGGTGCTGCTGCTCGAGCTGACCCAGGGGCTGTCAGGTGGGTAAGGTCTGTGGTGATGCCAGTGGGCGAATACTGAATATTACTGGGAGCATACTTAGGGATGGTGTCATAGAAACAGGTGGGCACTCCAGGAACAACTGTGTTCTGCAATGAGAGGATGAATTCTCAGTCAGCCTCCAACACCACACTCTGATTTCTAAAAAAGTTGGTTAACACAGACTAAGTCTCTGACATTGTGCCCATTATTATAGGTTCAATTATGTTCCCCCAAAAAGATGTTAAGTCCTAACACCTGGCACCTTATTTGGATATAGGATCTTTGCAGATGACCTAATTAAATGAGATCATTAGGGTGGGTCTAATCCCATATTAACTGGTGTCCTTATTAAATAGGGAAATTTGGACACAGAGATAGATATGTTCCCAGGGAAAGAACACCATGTAAAGAGGAAGGCAGAAATTGGGGTGACATTTTTATAAGCCAAGGAACACCAATGATTGCCAGGAAACCGCCAGAAGTTAGGAGAGAGACATGGGACCAATTGTTCCTCGCGGCCCTCAAAGGGAACCAACCCTGCTAACACCTTGATTTTGAACTTCAGCTCTCAAAACACTGAAATAATATAGGGTGTCCCAAAAAATATATACACACTTTGAATAATTATTCATTCCAATGTTTCTTTCTTTTCAGATTTAACCCATTGGAATGAATAATTATTCAAAGAAGTGTGCATACATTTTGGGGGGACATCTGTATGTTTGTAACAGGTGAGTAGTGAAGGGTCAGCAGGTAGCTTGATCTGGAGACTGGAATCTTAAGGCAGGGTTCTGCTCCCAATGCCCCCAAACTATACCACTTTGCCATGGGATAGTTGCCCCCATTGTGACATTAAGGAAATCACTTATTTTCTCTTTCTCTGGCTTTCATTCTCTCTGTTTTTCAAATGGAGGGGAAGATTCATACCTTACCTTCCGGCCTGAACTCTAATTGATGAAAAAAAAATCACTTAAAATACTCAATGCACAATGTATTGTTACTATGTTAAAAATAAAAGTGGGGTTTAGAATAAGGAGGTTAGAGAAAAGAGGGAGCCAGGGCAGCAATGAGTTTCTTCTCATTCAGGATATCTGAGGAAAACACTGATCACCTGCCACTCAGCATTGACAAAACGCTGCATCTGTTGGCACAGGATTGTTTTCTTTCTGAAGAATGATTCCCATTCAACCCAACAGTGTTTGGAAAACATTTCTTGGTGCCTAATCACTCCTAGGCCAGTTTTTACAACTTCCTGCTCACTGCGGTAATCTGCTCCTCATCCTTACCTCCCAAAGGCACCCCCGCTGCTTGCACTTCTCCTCAGAGGCAGTGGGATCCTCAGGGTAGCAGTTGAACTTCTCTTGGTCACTGACCAAAAGAGTCCACCTCATGGAGAATTCTTGTCCCAGTGCCAGTCCGAGATCAGTGATTTTCACCACCTGAGGAATGAGAAAGGAGGCCACAGTGACAAATGAGGAGAAATAGAGACACCTGGATAATGTCCTTCCCTGATGGTTGGGAAGTCAAGCCTGGGGGAGCTAGCCTTTCATCCAATCCCACTTTGCCTTGGGATGGCCTTCGTCCAATACAACCTTGCCATGTGACATCCTTCATCTAATGTCACTTTGCCATAAGATAGCCTTCATCCAATGCCACTTTGTCATGGGATAGTTGGAATATTATTGTTCCTCCTCTGGGACTTTTGACCTCCCTGCCAGGAAAATGCACTTGGCTCATTCCCGAACCTTCTCACCTCAAGTCACTATAGAATACTGAATAGGAAAGGCTTTCATCATGTTAAGGAGTACTAATCACTGGGAGGGCTGTCATTGTTGGGCAATTGCCTTCTGGGAGTGATGCCTGTACATTTTAATAATGGTGACAATTATAACAATAGCTAAGTTTTATTGAGCATGTATATGGACCAGGCACTGTGATAACTACTTTATATGCATTCCCTCTATTAATGCTATAAAGCAATCCTATGCTGCAAAAAAAGATGGCTCTCTCCATTTCACAAAACAGAAAACTGATGTTCACAGAGGTTAAATGCTTTGCCCAAGATCTCACAGCTAAGGGCTGGTAGAGCTAGGATTGGAATCCCATTCAGCCTAACTCTAGAATCCAAGCTCCTATCCTTGGGCATATGTGTTGTCTAAATGGAAGGAGGCCTCCCTACAAAATAGGGAATTCCCCAGCACTTGAAATACTCAACTAATAATTGGGATCTTTTGTCTAAGATTATCATGTAAGGGACTCATTCAATAAGGACAAAACCACCCAGCTGGCTTGGCTCAATAGTTGAACCTATGAACCAGGAGGTCATGATTTAATTCCTGGTGACCGATCCCCAATGTGGGGCATGCAGGAGGCAGCCAATTCAATGTTTCTATCTTTCTTTCTCCTTTCCTCTCTGAAATCAAAAAAAATATATTTTTAAAAATAAGGATAAAACTGATTACCCCTGCTGTTTTATTCAACTCTCATTTTCTATAATGATATAAAAATTCCTTAAAACACTAAGGAAAATATCAGCTGTGTCTCAAAGGGGGTCTTTAACTCAATGAGAGGGTAAATGTGTAAATACCTTCTAGAACAAGGCCAATGTATCAAATAATATAGTTTGAATAATAATGTATGGAACTGCATCTCATGTGGGATCAGAATGTCTAGTTTTAAATTTGCCCAGAGAACTGCCTTCTTCCAGGTCCCACTGAAAGGACTGTCTTTTTCAAAGTTCAGGGATTCATGTTTAGCAAGCACATGTTTCTCTGTCTGTATCCTTCCTAGGGTGTGGTCGATTTCCCAGCATGCCAGTGTCTCTGTGCCCCCTCCAAACTCAATAGAGCGAGAGAGAGCTGGCTGTCAGCTTCCAGAAAGGGCCCTGCAGGATGGCAGGATGGAACAATTGCCCACCTTCGTTGATGCATTGTAGCTAACATTTAAAATGGAAATATCATTAAGGACAAAATTAGTAGGTTCTTTGTCCATTCCCAAGATTATGATATCTGTAAATGTGAGGTTGTCGGGGTCCATATAATTATTTGTAATCTTTGCTTGTAGATGGTTCTGGAAAAAAAAAAAAGTCAGTTTAGAGACCAAGTATATCACATTCTAACTGTGCCCAATGCCACTCAACATCTTTCTTTCTATGATATAAATTATATCCTTTATCTCTGAGGTTCTAGATAGTGTCTGATGATCTTCCCCAGGAAATATGTTAACCCAGACACTTAACAGTCCTAAGTCTTAGTGTAATATTTTATGCTTGCTTTGGTTCTCTGGTTATTTATTGATTCCATTATTCAGAAAATATGTTCCTGACATCATGGAATTTTCAAGCAGATGTGATGGATAACAACAAAGAAAACAAAAAGACAGAAGCCCTCAAGAGAACCTTTAACACACAAAGGATACACACAAAATAGTGCCCACATAATTTTTTTTGTATTCTAATTATAATACTGATAAGAGCTTAATTGCATAAATGCTTACTATGTGTCGGGCACTGTACTAAGCGTTTTACATGTATTATCTCATTCAAGTCTCACAGTAAACTATGAGGTTGAAGCTCTAATTATCTCAACTTTTTCAGAGGAAGAGAGTGAAGCCCAGAGAAATTAGATATCTTATTCAGGGAACCACAGTTCAAAAGTGACAAAGTTGAGCTACGACAAAGAAAGTGGAACTGAAGACTAAGGGGAAAAAAGGAACACTTTGATGTTTAGAAAGACTAGGCATCCCACAAATATGCCCCACTGATTTCTGCAAAGGTGCAAAAGCAACACAGTGGAGAAAGAATAGCCTTTCAACAGATGGTGCTGGGCCAACTGGATGTACGTAGACAAAAAGTTGAACCTCAACCTAAATGTCACATCTAATATAAAAATTATATATATATATATAGTTTAGGAGATAATATTCAAGATCTAGGACTAGGAAGGGTTCTTATATTAGACACCAAAAAGCATGATCCACAAAAGAACAAAAAGATAAATTAGGCCCATCAAAATAAAAAATGTTTGCTCTGTGAAAGACTTTGAGGATGAAAAGAGATATCTACAGACTGAAAGAAAATATTTACAAACCATAAATCCAACAAAGGACTGGTTTCTAGAATATATTTTTAAAAAACACTCAAAACTGAATAGAAAAATAAGGCAAATAATCTAATTAGAAAATGGGCAAAATAAATAGGTAGACATTTCACCTAAGAGAATATACAAACAGGCACAAAAAAAGACAGTCAACATCTTTAGATATCAGAGAAATACCAATCAAAACCACAATGAGATATCACTACCCTCTCATCAGAATGAAATCATAACATCAAATGCTTGTTATGATGCGTAGAAACTGGGTGATGTATACACTGCTGCTAGAAATCTAAAATGGTTCAACCACTTTGAAAAACAGTTTGGCAGTTTCTTATAAAACTAAACATGCACTTATTGTAGAACCCAGCAATTGCATTCTTAGGCATTTATCTCAGAGAAACAAGAACCTGTGTTCACACACAAAGCTGTCCATAATGTGCATAGCACCTTTATTCATTTGTAACTGCGCCTGATGAAGATAGCCCAGATGCTCTATACTAAGTGAATGGTTAAATAAAAGCTGGGTATCTTGGAATACTACTCAGCAATAAAAGGGACTATGGATACACCACAACTTGAATGAATTTTGAGGGAATTATGCTGAGTGGGGGAAAAAACAATCTCCAATGCTACATGCTGTATGATTCCATTTACATAACATTCTTGAATGGACAAAATTATTCAAATGGTGGACAGAATAGTGGTTGCCAGGAGCTAACAAAGGGGGAGGGGAGGAGGCAAGTAGGTGTGGCTATAAAAGGACTATAGGCAGGATCCTGTAGCGATGGAAATGTTCTGTATCTTGACAGCATCAATATCAATATTCTTGTTGTAAAATTGTACTATCATTTTATAAGATGCTCCCATTAGGGGAAATTGTGTAAAGAGTAAAACAGATCTCTATTATTTCTTACAACTACATGGGGTACTATAATTATCTTAAAATGAAAAGTATAATCGAAAACAACAACAACAGTAGAAACGTAAAAGGAAGGAAATAAGGGAGAGAGATTCCCATAAAAGAAATCTCTGCCCATGCACAATCAGCCATCTAAGAAAACCAGATTAGATTTCTCCCATCCACTGCTAGCCTAACTCCTTTCTTCCTCTCAGTCCCTTTGGGAAATAGGGACAATGCGGGGGTGCTGTTCTATGTCTCCCAATCTCTCAAAAGCACCACTTCATACCTGTGTCCAAGGCCAAGTTTAGAGGTTGGGAAACAAGGTCATTATGGAGGAACCTCAAAATTGCAGTGCACCACTCACCACCTCCCACCCACAGCCCACATACCACACACACTTGTACACCCCCCCCCCAAATAAGGCATATCTTGGAAGCCAGGACTCATCATATAAAACTCAGAGGCAATGCATTTTTTCCAGAAACACACACACACACACACACACACACACACACACACACCACAAAAAACTAGTTCTTCACTGAACTAATGCCGAATTCTTATACCTTATATATCCTTTCTGGGACCATTGGAGTCAAGCACTGACCTTATTCCACATGACTACGCTTCTATAGCAAATCAAAGCAGTCACAGAGAAGAACATATACTGTATGTTCCTCAGAAACAGTACTTACCGAGGTGACAGAAAACTCATACAGAATGTAATTCTTTTCCGTTACAGCATCTGAAAGAGAAGGACAGAGGGTACTCATCACATAGAAAGTAGAGGCGCTTCTCTCAGTGGGAATACCTTTGCCATCTGATTCTGCTTAGCCACGTTTTACCCATTTTTGTCAAATCTCCACAAAGGTTTCCTGGCCACTTCAACCCACAGTAACTGCTTCATCCTCGGAACTCCCATGGCCTCTATGAAATACTGTTTTGCTGGCATTTACAACATTTTGACTTGGGTTATAGGTACCCATATACACAATGTATCTATCCTGCTGCACCAGGAGTTCCTCAAGTGCAATGTCAATGTCTTATTCATCTTTATGTCCCCTGCATGCAATGCAATCATAAATAGCCAATAAATATTAACAAATGCTAATTCTGTGCAGGGCAGGATTTTTATATCATCACAGACCATAAGCTTGTGTGAGGTACTTATATGGAAATCCTACAGTGGAAAAAACACACTACACAGATAAAATACTCCCTTTAATAGTAACCAAAGAAGTATTTTGCAAATCTATGAGCAAAAAGTATAATTTGGTATTAATAATGATACCCAGAAGAAAGAATAATTAAACTAAATCCAATAATGTCTGTTGCTTTGGTAGAGTCAGTAACATACAACTTGCTCATCTGAAGTCTATTTTAATTGCATTGTGCTTAGCCAACCAAATCTCAGAATAAGTTGATTTTTAAGCTATAGAAATAAGCATCAGTGATAACAGAGTGAGCACTGTATTGGGCAGCTTGCAATGACTAATCTCACTGAGCACTGCAGTGGTGGTGCCATAAGGAAATCTACCTGCAGACACACCATCATCCCAGTACAGCTCTCCCTTTGCTTCTCTCTTGTAGTCCAAGGCAATAATGAGTCCCAGGGAGTTCTTCCGACTGCAAAAGAGCAAGTCTCAGTTTCAGAGAATGAAGAAGAGACAGAACTGTGTTAAATAAGCCCCCTTCATGCTTCACAGACAGATAATTTCAGAGTTTATCCTAGAAAGTGAGTAGATCATGACCTTGAATGGCAACACGGAAGCTGGGTGTGGGTAGACAACAGAGGTTAGTAGTGAATGAGCATGAGAAGAATAGTCAAAGGAGACAGCTCCTGGTGAAAACTGGGTCTGTGATAACATTAACAATTAGCACTAATCGCTGCTTATCATGTGCCAGGAATTCTCCTAAGTGTTTTATGTACATTAAATTTTTATATTATTTCATTCAAACCTTACAATAACTCTAAAAAGTCAAACTATCATCATCCCTGGTTTACAAATGATAAGCAGAAATATAGAGACTAAGTTGCCATAACAATACATCTGGTATGTCGTAGAATTGGGACTTGAACCCAAAATTTCTGGCTCTTGACCTTGAAGTTATTTTGTCTTTGATCTCCTATTTGACTTGCATTCTCTCATGCCTAAGTGAATCTCCTTGAGGACAATTTTTGACCATAAAGAAACAATAACAACTAGTTCTTTACTTCATTATCTTATTCAATCAGAAGTCAATGAGATCATTGACTATTCTTAAAATCTGATTCAATCCAGAAGTAAAAGACTGTGGAAATGTAAAGGAACAGAGGCTACATTTACCCCCTAAATGAAGACTAAGATGCCAATTTGGGGCCAACCTTGAAAGGAAGGGAGGAAGATCACTGACTAAAGATGTCTTCCTTGGGTATATCCACTTTTAGTCCCTCTATCAACCTTTCCCATAATGCTCTGCCCCTTGGAGCATGAGAGCAGTTACACCTTAGAAAAGTGAGGAGCTTACAGCTTACCTGGCCTCTGTGGTTGTGTTTGGCTGCTGGATGGGAAATATGTAACCCCCTCGAAGGTGAAGTCCTATCCTATCAGGGGGCAGTAGCATCTCCACCAATTGTTTCCTCCATTGGATGGCTGTTCCCTACAACAAAAGAAAACAAATCAGATAATAGGCTGTTTAGGTTAGAAGGGATTGTGGAGATCTTCTACTTTTACTGTCTCATTTTAAATAAGAGAAAAACTGAGACCTCCCAGAAGGGAAGGTGACTTGTCCAAGGCATAAAGGTAGTAAGTAGATAGCAAAGCTGAGACTCCAACCCACCTTATTTCATTGTATTACACCATGCTATGATTCCACAAGCAGGCTTAGCCTAAATCCTGACAGCCACATAGTAGCCAGGTTGACATAATGAACATTCCCATCAACCTACCCCAGTTATTCAAATTATTTCATGGAATATTGGGAAAGGCCTTCCACATGGAAAAGTACCCACAATCAGCTAAATGTAAAGCCTCATACTATCATCCTACCCAAGCTCCCAACAATGCTGCTGCCTTAGAACTTCCTCTGCTAGAGGCGGTTCTCTGGGCCAAGAGGGCTACCTCACTTACTGTCTCATAGTCATACCAGATGGCATCTGGTATGTATGCTTTCACCCGGTCCACACCCTAGGGAAACAACAACAATGAGCGACATTAGCATATCCTTTTACAGTTTGCACAACACCTCCACGTGTGGCTGCATGTGCTCCTCTGAACAATCCTGAGAAATAGTTGGGATTCTGCCATTCTACCAATGAAAATACAGATACTCAGAGAGGTCGGGCAGTTCATCCAAAACAGATCTGTACCAGAATTTAAGTTTGTTTTGCTTGAGGTTCCTGAACTTTCTAAGAGAAGCAGAGAAAGTTCATTCATTGAGTTACTTGTGTAGTCTGGCAGGTGGGAAATTTAAACAGTCAGGCACCCTGGAGAACCTTCCAGCAGCATCACTATAGCAGGACATGCCATGAGATGGTGTGGCTAAAACACCAGCTCCAAGGGCCTTTTACATGAGTACATTGGCGACCTTCCATGTTTACAAACTGGTCAACATAATCCTGATACCCCCTTTCTTTCCCTGTACTTCCCCAATCACTGCTGCCCCAAATCACACTGCATATGTGGACTCTACAGTAACAACTGCCCCTTGACCAGCATTCCTCTCTCCCTCCCTACTCCTCTCCCCACCGCTTCTCTCTTCCTAACCCCAAGAGCACATCCTCTCTGGTCAAAGGGAAACACGGACAGATGGCCAGCCCCAGGCATTTGAAGTCCCTGTCAATGTCCATATACTTAAGGACACAGGCTTTGATGTAAGCTTACAAAATGGAAATTGTTTTGCTTGGTGAGGCAGTGGGACCAAGAATTACTATTTTTCTAATTTCCAAATGTTCACAATCTCTCATTTTATTCATATTTATATTTAAATGCAGCCAAAGATATTCAGCCTCCAGCTTATTCAGCTATAGAGCCATGAGGACTAATGTTGATATCCCATCCCACTGCTTAGATTATAAACACACTTCATATAACACAGGCGTGATGAGGAGTCCAGGTCCCCATAAGAACTGCTCATGCACATCCCATGTAGCACTGTCCTGGTAGAACCTGGAAAACAGAGAAGGTAGGTGAAGCCTCCAACATAAGAGAGCAGCTCATTATATGAAAACAAGGTCCTAGCAAACCTTGTTACTACTGACAAGGGAAGCGAAATTATAATCTGAAAAGATGTCTTTGTGGGTAAGGAAACTCACTCGTGGACCAGGGGCCTCGCTACAGTTTCCCCCAGGGTATGAGCTCGGTAGAAGAGGGTGTACAGATAAGGCAGCAGGGTGTAGCGGATGTTCAGATAATGCCTGGAGGAACTCAAGAGTTGAGAGTCTTCACCAAAGGCAGCAGGGTCCTGGTCCTAGGAGGAAACATAAGTGATTACTAAATATTTCCATCATAGTTTAAACGTCCTCTTTGATAAGTTTTCTCACAAGAAAATAGCTATGTTCTCCAACTTGAAGATGTGGAAGCATTTCCAGAACTGAAAGGATCTGGGACCTACCTGCTCCTTCATCTTATAGATGAGAAAACCATGTCAAAAATGCAGTATAAAATTGCAAGGAAGTGGCAGAGTTTAAATTTGACACATGTCTTCTGACATTGATTCATGACCGCCTCAGGATGATAAAGAAACCTACAGAGATTACCAAGAAGATAAAGGGCCTATAGTGGGCCCGGCTCCCCCAGAGCTGCTCCAATTTATTTTATATATTGAGGTTTCTCGTGATACTTCATTTGGCAAATAATAATAATAAAGTCATACTACCACTAAAAAGGAATTTGAGCCCAGCCCGTGGGGTTCATTGCTTGAGTGTCAACCCAGGAACCAAGAAGTCACTGGTTCGATTCCTGGTCAGGGCTAATACCTGGGTTGCAGGCTTGATCCCCAATAGGGGGTGTGCAGGAGGCGGCTGATCAATGATTCTCTCTCATCATTGATGTTTCTATCTCTCCCTCTCGCTTCCTCTCTGAAATTAATAAAAACATATTTTAAAAAATTGAAACCCAGTGCCTTAAACCACCATGACCTATAATCCATCTTTTTTATGCACTTTTATGAATTTGCAATGTTAAAATTTATGTGTAGTTTTATTTATAATGTTTTCACCATCAAAATTTGTTTTATTTTCTCTGTCCCAAAGACAGTGACCTCTATTTGTTCTTCAATACACAAAGTACAAAGAAATCAGGAAGACAGTTTTTAGCAGATTTTATCTAAGAGCAAAAAAGAACCCTTTATGAGGGAAATCTAATTCTCTTAGGACCCAGAAACATACTTTTTCCATCAATGACGGACATGCATTTTGTTCATTTTCCTTGTTCTTTGAAAGATGTGCATAGCAAATTTAAACTTGTCATCCTTATAGTATTACTGGGACTGAATTCTAGAAAAATTATCTAAATTTATTCCTTTCTTTTGTTCCCCAAATTGCCCATTTCCCCCTTCCAAATAGAACTACTCTATACCTCGATGAGGCTAAACACCCAAGAAAATAACACTCCACAGCTTCCAGCATCTGGTCTCCAACTGAGACAATCTAGAGGTGCCTTGTCCATCATGGTGGCCATCAGTCACATGGGGCTATTAAGCACTTTTATTGAAGCATGGTAATAATCCCTCCTTGGGAAAAACTGCTGTTTGAACTACTCTGTTATTCTTAGACAGTCTCTTATTCCGTGGGTCAACTCTGTTATTTTTAGACTGTAAAATAACTTTGCTTTTTTGCTTGAATAGAAAAGATAAACTTAATTGTCTGACCTTGCAAGCTAGCCATCTAAAGGAGCTGATACACTATATTAATTCACATATTCTGCCAAGTCTTTGTTCACCCAAGGTTATAGGTGTTTGATTAGATATAATATGTACTCAAAGTTACAAGTTGTCTGTATAGATATTACAGCTGTTTGATTAGATATAATATCTATTCAAGGTTATAAACTGTCTTACACAAAGAACTGGAAGGATATAAGAAGGAAATACTCCCTCCTGTGTTTGTTCAGAATTTGACAGAGGTAATCTGCTCTGAACCTGCGTGCAATAAAGATGACTCCTAACTAATGGGCTCATTAGGTGTCTTGTCCAGCTCGCTGATTTGCGATACAATCATGTAGTTAGTAAGATTGGGGAACTACACTTTTAATTATATTTGATAATAGTTAATTTAAATATAAACCTAAAACTGAATCAATGTTCAAGTATTTCTCTAGTAAACATAACTTTATTGTTTTGGTAGGACTACATTTCACTCCAGCATCCAAATTGAGATGTATTGCAAGTGCAAAATGCACACTGAGTTTTGAAGACTTTATAGAAAGAAAAGAATATAAAATAGCTCATATTAATATTTTGTATAAAATATGGGTTGAAATAATGGTAAAGATAGATTTATATAAAGAGCTATATAAAGTAGATTAAAAAATTGTTCCTGTTTCTTTGTACTTTTTCAATTCCCATTTAAACTTCCATGTGTGGCTCCCATTATCATTCTATGGCTGGCACTAGTTGGGAGGAGAGAAAACAAGCACTGTAAGCTGGCAGCCAGAGTGGTCTGAGTGCTCCTATGGACATAATTTCTCCAGGCCATCTCTTCAGGAAGAGCACCCCCCTCCCTGCTTCTGGCCATCTGCTTGGAATTCAGAAATAGTTCATCTCTCTCTGCTAGTACAGCCCTGGGTTAAAATACTTTGAATATCTGACTATAGATCTTTTCCAGGTTAGAGATGTCATTGGACAAAGGCAAGAACTAGAACTAAAATGATTATCAGTATGTTACTCTAGTGTGCCTATTAATAGCTAAGTCACTTAATTTAAATCATTTCAGCTGCATATTTATTCATTAAAAGAAAGGGCATCCCACCCTACTTGTTCTTGCCATCACCATCATGATAAACATCTCCTTACTACAGACTTTGAACCCTTTCTATAGACTTGCCATCAAAATATGATTTGGGTTAGAAGAGGAGAAATGCAGGATATGTCATGAGAAGTAGTAGGGAGTGGTCTCCCAAACCATTCATAGAATGTTGTAAAAAAGTGAAAAAATGTTCAGATCACTGGCCTGCCTTCCCTTAATCCTTTCTCCTTGATCCCCCATATCTAGGAGTGGTTTTCCTTGTATTAACTGAAGTAAAATATCAATGGACTCCAATTGTCCTATCTTATATAAAGTGGTACCAGAACTGATAGCAGCACCATAGAAACTTTAGCAACCCCTCTTACATTTGTTGGTGAGTTTTTAACAATAAAACCATTATATATATATTTTTTCCACACACCATCACCCCATACCCTACTTTTTAATCTATCACTGAAAATTTATCTATTCTGCTCCTGCACTTAGGGCCAACCTGGAGTATTTTCTTCAACTCCCTCTTTGGAAACAGGTAGATTAGATAACCCAAGAAGTTTCCATCACTTCTCTTGGGGACCTTACCCTGAACCCAGGCCCATTGTGATTCCTGGATAGTGGATAAAATGCTCCAAGCTGCATCCATCTTCTGCAGAGCTCCTCTGTGGTATTATCTTTATACCCACAGATATTGGCACCGACCTGGAGAATAGGCATACATACAGCACAATGGTCAGTGAGAGAGGAAAAAGCATTGACTGCATACCTATGTGATAAAGGAAACGAGAATCTCTTATTCCCATCACTCCATGCTTAAAGAGGTCCCAAGGTTTCAAGGCAAGCCCCCAGCCAAATGGGAGAATAAAGAAAGTGTGCAATCATGGATTGACTGATGAGAGGAAGACTGACTGTTGTATGTTTTATTAAGGGCTCACCCTCAATATTCAGTTTCCATTTTCATGCTTTGCTATCATTGATGCTCTTTTGATGGAATTTTTCTGTGATACTGATACATTTTACTCATGGAGTCTCCTTTCTAACTTCAGAGAATCCATGGATGCCAATGATAGAGTGTTACCATCCTATCATCAGAAGGCAGCTCACACAACACACAAAAATTGATTTTTCCAGTACATATCAAAGTGAGTTGTATGCTCACTGCTTTTCAGACACCTCAAAGACTGGTAATGGAAAGAATGTCAAAGCTCCTTGGTTGAGAGTGAAACTCACCATGGGGATGCCAAATAGGTTGAACTCAAGGATACTAGGGATGGACCATCGAAGATCATCCCATGCAGCTGCATTGTCCCCTAACCAATGACCTGCAAACTTGCCAGACCCAGCAAAAGTAGAACGAGACAAGATGAAGTTCCTCTTATTTTGGAAGACAGTATTCAAGGCCCTGAAAAGGAATACAGTCAAATGAATGTGAAATGAACTGTGAATGTCAAGGACTTAACCTATATCAAAGGTCCAAGCAAACTGAGAAAAAAAGCAAACTGAGAAAAAAACATCAGGGTATCATGAAGGAGAACAAACTGGATTAGCATTTTTAAGAGCTTCTTTCTCATTTCTAGGTAAGGATGCAGATCTCATGTAAGACAATAAAAACCTCTACAGTCAGTACCCGCAAGGAATTTCTCTAGGCACCTGGCCTCCTGATTATGTTTCCTCCATCTTCGATCTGCTTGTGTTCTGGCCCCTTTGGTCGATGATACATTGGAATGAGGGGCTATTGGCCCTATCTTCTCCCTCTAGAGAAAGTTTTTCTAATGTACCTGGGTTCCATGCCTTGCTACCATTCATAATCTTGTTTAGGAAAACACTAGCTCAGATCAGAACCCTTTACCTGCTCTTTGCCTAAGAGGAGATTTTGCACACAGTCTGGGCTCCAGGAACCCGATTCCTCTGAAGCTTCGGAACTTATTATTAGCAATTCCCAATGTTAGGGTATCTTAATCTGTGCAAACTAGTATTACTTGAAGTGAATAAGTCTCAAAAGATGGCATATGGCACTCTTAATGCAGTTAAAAGTAACTAAAATATAAATATTTTCATTGTATTACTTATAAAATATTACATATCAAGTAAAAACTATATAAAAAGTAAAACAAAGGAATTAAAGACAAGAAATTCAGACCAGATGTGGGCATGTGGGATGGGATAGCATGAAGTAAGATGTAGGCTGTTTTCCTAGCTTTTATTCAGAACACTATTTTGCTTAGGCCTCTCCCTGCTCTCTTCTCTCCTAAACAGTTCACACTTACCTTTAGTGTTTTAAAATTGAACAGTAATACAACTATTGGATGGTGATACCTGAGCCACAGTTGCCTCTAGTTCTTTGCAGGCAAGCTCTACTATTTTTCCTTCCAAGACATGGTCTGAGACCAGTGTACCATCAGGCACTGGGCAATTCCTCATAGGCACTATCACAGCCACCAATGCTTTTCCTCTTTGCACTTTTAAGAATGTTATGGGGAGTGTACACATGCAGAACAACTTATAATGGAAAAAGGAAGAAAATTCTGAAATAGAAGACTGGTTTAAGAAAATTAAATTCTGACAATTAAATGACCAAAAAATGGGGGTAGAATGGAAAGGACTCATTCTTCAACTCCTGTCCTCATTTCTCCTTTTATAAGGACTGGCAATACTTTGTGTTTATTACCACTGGCTAGAGGGTTTACTGCATCCTGCAATCCTCAATCATTAAAGAAACACATTCAAGTTATGTAAAGTGAAATTGAAACAGGAAATGAAGTTAAGTGAATTTAGGGTTTATTTAGAGTCATCCCATTATAGCACCACTGATTAGATAACATGCGTGTTGTTTTTTTTCCAACTTAAGAGGAAATATTTACCCAGAGATCCCTAAGTCTCTATTTTACATCTCTCGGTTTGGGCCTACATATAGTCAGGTCTTGATATCTGAGAGGATCTGATTTCTTCCTACTTTCAAGCCAGAGGAAAGTGAACTTTATTCTCTTTGTAGACCAGTAACTGCTGTCCCCAAACTATACTTCCAGCAAAAGTTGAGCTAAATGTTCATCAGATCTGTGATTTAAATTCTCCTGATGCCCAGATCCAACTGAATGAAAATCTTATCTGATTTTTAACCAACTCTGTCTGATGCCTGAAGGCTGTTTCACTTATCTCCATTGTTCTCTGGGAACTTTGACCTTTTAACTATTAACCATTATTGACATAGCTCCAGAACATATTAACCAATCCCAATGTGATTTTATAGTACTTTTATCACATGGAGATTTGAACATTGAAGCAATTTGAAACTCTCTTTCCTTCCTCCTACCTTCCCTTACTCTTTCTTTCTCACCCTGTCCATTTATCCACTCTCCTCCCACCTTCAATCTTAGAAGCATCCTCGAGTCAAAATAGATCAGAACAAGAACACCAACCCAAGATTTTCATTTTAAAGATGAGGGAACTGTCTTATTCATCTAGTTTACTTCCCAGAAAGGTTGAGTGAGAGAAACAAGTCAGAAAAGGGAAGATAATGAAATCAGAAATGTGTGTCCCTCTTTTTGAAGCTTTTCATTTATTGAAATAAAAACTTTTGCATTTAGTGGATAAGGACTCTCTCATTGAACAATCCAGAATAATATTAAGTCATGAGGATAAAATGGTGTTGGAAAACAAAATAGGCCCGGTCTGTGCCTCTAATTCATCAGGTTCCATTTTTCTTCTCTTTCTCAGGCCAGGCATTTATTCAACAACCATGCCTTTAGTATACACATGATTCCACAGGCTAAGAAAATATGGCGTGACTATTCTCTCAAGAAATTGATAGTCCAGCAAGAAAAAAAGTAAATACCTAAAAACTATAATACAAGTGCTTGGATATTAGGCATAGTACAATATGAACAAAGGTAACACAAAATATGGGGTGGGTGTGGGGGTAATCTTTTCCTAGGACTGTCAGGAAGGTTTAATATCTGAGGGGAGGTTTTAAAGATAAGTGCATACTTGAAAAATTGACTGGGCAGGGAAGGGCATCCTGTGCAGGGAGAGCAACACATGCAAAGACATGGAAGAATGAAATAGCATTTGGATTAGGGAGCAAGAGCAGTTATGTTTTCCCAGAGTGTAAGATATAAGAGTAGCAGGGATGAAAGGAAAATTCTAAGAAATCATTAAGTTATGAAGTACTTTACAGGTTTGGCTGGGGTGACTGGATTTTATTGTATAGAAGATACCAAGCCAAAGATAATTTTTTACTGGGGAAAGAAGTGAGCAGATTTTCACTGGGGAAAGAAATGAGCAGACGTGTGATTCAGAAGGTAACTTCAACAGTAGTAGAGAGTAGATCTTTTGAAACTTTAACATACATTCAATACCCCTGGGAATCTTGTTAAAACTCATATTCTCATTTCCAAGGTCTAGGGTGAGGGCCAAGGAGCTACATTTCTAATATGTTTCCAGATGATGCTAATATTGCTAGTCCTTGGACCACACTTTGAATAGCAAGAGTAGGGATAGATGAGTAGGAGGTAAAGCTACAGTCAGGGAGGGGAGACTAGTAGTTATGGGACTCATGTAAGTTTTACTTGAGCAATGATGATGGCCTTCGTTAAAAAGTGTCAGTAGAGGAAAAAAGGAGATGATTATACACATGTTTTAGGGTCAAAAGGTCTGAAGCCTGATTGTAGAAGTGGATGTGATGAAAAGAAATAACTCAAGGATAATACCAAGTTTCTCACTTCAGAGTCTGGGAGATAGTGATGGTGTTGCTACCAACCAAGATAGGGAATTGAGCAGTTTCAAAAATGATTAGACTGAGGGGACCAGGCAGAAATAGGTAACAATAAGGTGAATGGCATTGGAGGTACTATATGACATCCAAGTAGAGAAGATCAGAAGGTAATTTTGGATATCTGGGCCTGAAAATCAGGGAGAGATCTAAGCTATAGATTTATAGAATTATAGATTTTTAAATTACCAGAATGAATTACAGTAAAAACTGAGAAGAAATAAATTATTTTTGTATTAGTAGAGAATGAAAAATGAAGTCTAGGGATTGACCCCTAAGATTTATCAATCGTGAGAGAATACATGAAAAAGATCCAGAGGTCAAGAAGGAACAGAGGTTAAGAAGGGACAGCTGGAAAAAGAGCAGGTATGCCCAGATAGAGTGGTGTCTCAGAACTAAAGGAACCAAGCTTCAAAGGAGTTGTCAGTGATGTTATGTACCCTAGAAAATTCAAGTAAAAGGACTGAGAAAACATCAAAGTCTCCCTGCTCCTATTTCCCACTAATGGTGTTCCAGAAATATCAAAGCAAAAGGACACAAGTAGAGAAAAACTAAGACATTCTTTCCTAAGCCACTTGAAGGTCCCCAACAAATCTTCAAAGACTAGTTTCCCTGTCTGTTTTATAAATTTAAATTAAAATCTTAAACTTAGTCCCTAATTTCTTGCTCTCTTAGGTATAATGATTGTAATTTATCACTTTGGTGGGGGGGGGGGTGGAGATTTTGCAGAGAGCTTTTCCTCAATTTACAAAGTCAGCAGCAAAATATTAATGCGACAAAGTATGTAAAGGACTGAATCTTTTGCAGGAAGCATCTGTCTCTTTGTTAGACTTTCATATTGAGTGGTGGTGGTGGTGATGGTGGTGATGGTGGTGGTAGTGGTAATGTTAGTGGTGGTGGTGGTAATGGTAGTAATCATGGTGGTAGTGGTACTGTATACGTCTTGGGGCAGAGGGGAGAGTTGAGAGGGTGACTGGGGCAGGCAGTAGGGAGGAAAGTTAGGAGGGGTTGCTATAACATTGCCATGTAAATACAGGATACTCGATACACTTGAACTACTTCATATAAACAATTAATAATTTTTAGTATACAGTACATAGGTTCATTGCAAACTTGCAAACTTGACTGGGTATCCTGTATTGTTATTTGCTAAATCAGGCAATTCTTATTCATAGCACATTCAGTATTGGAACCCAAGCAAGGGCTGACTTCCAATTGGAGGTTCTAAATACCTTGCACATTATTGCCTACTAATATCAAGTCCTTAGTCACAAGCCAATAAGCAATAATCCTGCACAGAAGCCACGGAATTATATAGGAAGACCTCTTAAGTAGCCTGTAAGATCTGAGTTTCTAGATCCACATAACCACAAAATATATTTGAAAAATATACCTATAGATGACAAGAGAAACCCTCTATCTCCCAGCTCCCCGTATCTCGAAGTAGAAGGAAAACCTAGTGCTTACGAGTCTGTGGCTCTTGCCATGGAGTAGCCATACAAGCTGTGGACATTATAGTGAAGCTCCTGGTAAACCTCGGCGTCCATGCAGAGGGTTCCTGCAAAAAGCGAGCGGTCCAGAACTCCTGTGGGGAAACACCCATTGGTGAGCCACTTCCCTATCAACAAGCTCTTACAAAATAACCACCTAATCCAATTGCTTCCAGGTTCCTGTACCTTCTCCACCAATCTCTACCTGGCAAAACTCTTTTCAGATTTCAAATCCTATCCCAATGCCTCTTCCTAACTGGGACATACTCTAAGCCCCTCACTGAGGTAAATCATTAAAATCAATTTGCATTCTCTTGAGCTCACAAAGAATGGTGCTGAGTGGTGGCAACAGAGAAAAAAACTCAGAGCAATGGGAAGTTAATCTGAGATAAAATATAAATAAAATACACACACATAACTACAGATATTTAATCAAGGAGAATTGAATGTATGAAGAACAGATAGGAGGGCAGTGAAAAGGGAATATATACACTCTGAAATTACAAGCCTTCACACCTCAGTTACACTTTTTAAAAAATGAGATATTTGGGGGCTTTCATGAATGAGAACTTAGATATCCTGCCTTTAGAAATCAGCATAGTCATTGTTTCCCTTTCTTATGCCTAAAATGGTCAACACTTCTGTCTTGTGGCCTGCAATCTCATTCTTCCTCTTCTACTTGTAGACCAGTACCAAGGGGCCATACCTCCTGCCCTCCTTCATGAAGCCTTGCTTGTTCATTAGATATGAGGCACAATTCCAGAAAGTGGTAGAACCAGGAAAGACTGAGGTTGAGTTTTTCTCACCAGCCCAGCAGAATCAGAGATTGAAATTATGTTTAATTATAAAATATAAAGACAATTATATTTCTGGCATGACTCAGTTTGTGGCCTGAGATTCACAACTAGATTAATTACTAGTGTCCCGGTGCATGGATTTGTGAACATTGAAAGGAAATCAATTAGGAAAAAATATTTTAATATCACTATTCGTCCTTTCTCTATAATAGAAGTGTCAACTAAATTCATGATCAATAATGACAGATCAAAACACACACGTGCCATTGGTGCCAGTGAGAGCTTTATATGTATGGCGCGTGCACGAGTCAACTTAGCCTTTTTTATATATAAAATACACTTTGCTTAATTAGACCTGCTTTCTGATTTAGCTAAACTTTTTCCAGCCCAGTGAAGCACCCCAACTTCTCTTCAGGTAATTGTCAGCAACACAGCAGTAAATATCAACATGAAGCAGATTATTATCAGATTATTATTGAAGATCAGCAGGGAGAACAAAGGGTACAATTTTTAACTACAGCAGTGTTTGACTATATTCTGCACAGTGGGAAAACCTGAAGTCATTTTCAAGTTCCACCATTTCTTACTTCTTTTCAGTTGGGTCAAGTTTCTAAACTTTCTAAATCTCTGTTTTCCAGCTAATGAAAAAGGATTCTACCAAGTCTCCTATCTACCTACTCTAGGACTTCTGTGAGGATCAAATGACATGAGGCACATGAAAATGCTTCACAAACATTTGGTTAAACTATAAAATGTTTGCACCTGGCTATAAAGCAAGTTGGGTTCCTGGACTAAAGAAACTCCAAGGAGGCTAGTCACTAGGGAGAGGAAGCTGGGCGTTGCTAAGTGACATCATTACCCAGTGCCCACAGTGACTATTTCCAGGTTGGGTTGGACTCTGGGCCACATTTTGCACCATGGGGTCTTGGCAGCATTGGCTGCAATTTGCTGAGATGTCACTCTGGGGTGGCAGCAGGGCCTGTGTCCCACTTGGGGGAAGCTGAGTGTTGGTTTGTCAGCACCAGGTCCATGGTGCCGTTTATTTTTAAATAGCCAGTGTGCATCATGGCAGCTCCTGCATTGAGCGTCTGCCCCCTGGTGGTCAGTGCATGTCATAGCTACTGGTCAGAGGGAAGGGCAGATACTTAGCCTTTTATATATGTAGATAAGAAAGGATCCTAAGATTTTCCCATGAGCAAAGGTAATATATCTAAATCTTTTTCATGACAATGTATACTTTCTTTTTTAAAAATCTTTATTGTTGAGAGTATTACAGATGTATTTTCTAATCCTGAAAAGATTAAAAGTAGACCAGAGGCAGAGCAGTTTGTCATATGTAGTAGACAAAATGCTGAGAGGTAGGGAGTAGGATCCTTGTCAGAAGCAGACAGAAGGTAAAGAGATTTCAATGTTCTATAGGAAACAAAACAAAACAAAACAAAACCTTTTTGGCTAAGTAGAAGATTAAGAGATTAAAAGGGAAACATGATAAACTGATACACAGTGAAAAAAATTGGGGGAACACAGAATGAACAGAGAAGAATAAGAGGGGGAAAGAAACAGATTTTGCAAGAAGTTGGCTGGTTTGAAGTCAAGATTCCTCCTAAAAAGTTCTTAAAAGAGTAAAGAAACAGCTAACCTGTGGCTCAAAGGCACCAGTGAAGTGAAGAAACCAGAAGAAACTGGCAGAGACTGGCCAGATGCTCACCAAGCCTGTCTTCTCCCCAGGAATATAAGATTATATTTCACATTTTCTCTTGAAAGTTTAGCAGAGTCATGTGATTGGATTCTGTGAACAAATTGAACACCCCCCCGCCCCCCCCCACACACACACACTTCCAGGCTTATCCATACATCTCCTCTACCCTTCTATTTCCCCTTCACCTAGGAAGCTGGAAACAAAGGGCTCTGAGATAGGAGAACCAGGTGATGGAAGTAACTGGATTCCCGAGTCACTGCTGGGATGAGAGCCACACATTCCACACTAGAATATTATATGAGCAAAAATTTTTATTGTGTACTCCACTGAGATGTTAGGATTCATTTGTTTCCACCAACACTATACTGTTTCACAAACACACACACACACATTCTTTTAAAATTAGGGACTGGAAATGGGACTCATAAATTGGAAGGACTAACAGGAACCATTGATGCTATGGAACCATTGATGCTATTGGTAATAAGCTAAACAAACACACACATATTACAGATTTACTCCAATGGAAGGCAGTTTGTACTTCCAGTATTCTGATATTCTCATAAAGTTTAAAATTGAACCATATGTAACATGTATAAAAGGTTTAGAGGAAGGGATGGGAAATGTAGAATTTGAGAGAGGAGGCACAGCCAGGGGAGATATGACCTTCACCACATGCTTGCCCTTGGATTATGTCAGCAAAAGAGTAATGCAAGACTAAACACTACAGTAAAGTCTCCAGGGAGAGGGAAGTGAAGTGGGTGGAGGTGGGCAAAGCACATGGAAAACGGGACACCTGCAATTAAGTCAACATTAAAAATTTTTAATAAAATAATAAAAATAATCCTATATAATAAAAGGCTAATATGCAAATCAACTGAACGGGGGAACAACCAGTCGCTATGATGCTCGCTGACCACGATGGGCAGATGCTCAATGCAGGAGCTGCCCCCTGGTGGTCAGTGCATTCCCACAAGGGGAGCGCCTCTTAGCCAGAAGCCAGGCTCAAGGCTGGTGAGCCCAGAGGTGGAGGCCCGCATCTGTGGCAGCGCTAAGGAGCAGAGAGCTGAGTGGTAAAGAGTAGCGAGCAGGAGGGTGGTAAGGAGTGAGGGGTCCTGGACTGCAAGAAGGTGCAGGCTGGGCTGAGGGACCCCCAGCCCCCATCCACAGTGCATGGATTTTGTGCACCGGGCCTCTACTAAGATAATAAAAACAGTCAAAACAAAACAAAAGAACCATTGGAAAGTGAACTTGCTCCTGGCTACACTGAGTTTCGCTGAGGTTGTTTTAAATATCTCCTACCTACATCATTACAAACAGGTGAAAACTTACGGGGAGTGAAAGGAGGATAGTTCCAGTTGTTATCTTCACACCCATGATCAGAACCTTGGAGAATAGATACTTCCTCCATTTCCTTCAGAGACACGAAATACACAAAGTGGAAAATGTTATTGATTTATAGTTAGTTGTTAAAGAATGTTTACTGAACTAGAAGCTGGATAGCTGGCGTCTCTTATTGATTTTGGAATCTTAGGTAATCTTAAATTTTCTGACTTCTGTTTCATCTTTTGAATTATATTGTATCTACAGTACCTTCCAACTCTAAATTATATCAGGTACATTTAACCTTTTATACCTTGATTTCAATTAGTTCATTAAGAAATACTATTTCAAAGGCTAATTCATACCTTATGAGATTTTATTGTTGCTGATATTGCCTCAGTATTGTTTTAAAGAATCTAAGATAGAGTAATATTCTATTTCATAATTTTCCCATTCTGTTATTCTACTCAGTGCAGGGCTTAAGAAGATAGAATTGAGATAAAATCCATATCTTTAAAAGAGCTTGCAAATAGGTGATGTGTAATCCTGCTAACAAAAATGTAATTTTTCAAATTGCAAATAAATTTTCCCACCCGCTAGCCTCTAAAAAAATAGAAGGACCATTAAATTATTCTTTAATTATTTACTTTAAATTTTAATAAATCATTGCTACAAATAATGGCACCTGTAGTTTCTAATAAAATAGTATTTTTAAAGTTAAAAGACAATTAATTTAGGAAAAAGCTGAGTCCATGAGAAAGCAAAATATTTTCTTAAAAAATAAATAACCATTTGGTAGCAGATTGAGAATTAAAATCCAGAGGGTTGAGGCATCTAATTTATTGTATATTATAAGCTCAACATTAAGTAAAAGGATTTTAAATATCACTATGTCAAGTAAACTATTTTATTAGAGATTAGAGTTAAAATTCATCTTAAAATTAGAAATATCTGTCTCCAAAGTAAGTTTTATACTGGAATAATGACTTACAAGCCACACTCCATCAAACTCCAAAGTTTTATGAAATTCTTGAAGCTCTTCTGTCCACCATTGAGTACAAGCTGGATTATCATAAGCAGGAAAGACTATCTTTCCGGGATATCCCTAAAAAACAAAGAAAATTGTGGTGGTTTATCTGATGATTCACACATGCATTTATTGCTGGCTACTATCTCTTCTACCAGAAGGCCCATGTAGCTTACATTTTAGAATCAAAATGTGTGACTGTCCTCCTAAAACTAAATGTTAAAATAGATGCAAGGAACCAAAGGAAGAAAAAAATAAAAGGAAAAACAACTTATTATAGAGATGAGAAGCCAGCAAATGTCGCTTTTCTCTAATTAAAAAAAAAAAAAGTAAAATTTCATATGTCAGGCCAATTGACATGTTTAAAATATGGAAAGTTTAACTAGATGATATTTTAGAAGAGAATGACTTTGTTTAATGTGTTGTTAATTGAAGATCACCTAAAACCTGATTTGAATAATGCGATTTATAGATAACTAGAGGCCTGGTGCACAAAATTCGTGCAGGGGGGGGGGTCCCTTAGTCTGGCCTGCACCCTCTCCAATCCAGGACCTCTCGGGGGACATCCCTCTCGCAATCCAGGACCACTGGCTCCTAACCCCTCACTTGTCTACCTGCCTGATTGCCCCTAACCACTCTACCTGCCTGCCTGATCGCCCATAACCGCTTGCTGGGGGGCAGGGCCAGCCCAGCGAGGGGCCGTGGTGGTTCTGGTCTAACAGTCGTTATGGTTGTGACGCCTTTACGATCTCTGGCCTTTTATTATATAGGATATGTTGGTTTTGGCATAGAAACAATCTTGTTTAAAGGGTTTAATGCATTTTGTGCTTTTTACTCAGGTCAAATATATTTTATTCTATCTTCTCTTCTTATCTATTCCTATCAAAGATTTATTTTTAACATTGTCCACAAAGAGCACGAAGATATAGTCATAGCCAACTTACTGAAAATTCTAAATTGACAAGACTCAAAGTTTTGTACATACATTCTTGCTTATTTTCCCAACAAATTTATAGATTGTCATTTAGGAACAACTTTATGCTCAGGCAGTATAATGAATAGCTATCTATGTCTTGGTTCTTTGTTTTAGGTGATGGGTCACCATATAATAATCAGAAGTAACTTTGAAACTCAGGGAAAAGATGGTGTGGCAAAGGAATCACCTACAGTGACATTGTCCCTAGAGCAAGCCCAGGAACATTCATTCTAACCAAATTCCTTTATAACTAACCCACACTACCTCCAGCACTATTACCTCTGCCAACATCTTAGATCAAATGATTTCTGTTATTTATTGGTCAATGGAGGTAACTATCTAATAAAATTTTTGTGGTTATATGCAAATTCCTAATTACATACATCTCAAATATGAATACTATTGAAATGACTCATAAGTCTGGATAATCTTTTCTGGTAAACAAAACAATTTTTTATGTGACCATGGCCCCTGATTTTGTACTTATATATGAATATCGCTCTATCTGATATATTAGAAATTCACATCAAACAAAACAGCAAAAGCAAAGAATTGGTTTGGAGAAGGAAGGAAACTACTGTTTCATGAAAAGTTAGAATTAATGAAAAAGAAAGTAAATAGAAAAAAGTATCGTAGACAAAGTCAATGATGGGAATTAAGTGAGAAGTTAGGTAAGGGTTCATTGATAACCCTAAAATGGTAAGTTTTGCAAAGTTAATTGCCTGGGAGCAACAAGAAATGAGGCCACGTGAACTTTTAGATGAAGTACCAGTTTTAATAAATCTTCCATCATCCAATCATCTAGGGCTGACCCCACACATAATTAGAAGAGAAGTTTGACTGCAAAATTTAATTTAAAATACTCTTGAAAGCTCAGCTGCCCTGAAAATAGGTTCCTAAGCAGCTTACTCAAATGCCTGAAATTGCTACCTTAGGATAAAGGCTGGGCTCTATCTATAAGTCTCATGAAAATTAAAAGTATATTAGCTGAGGTAGGTTTCACATTAGCCTATGAGCATCTTGCTCATTACCATAGTTGAATTTATTGTCTGGGGATATAAACTTTAAGAATAAATTAACTTTCTTCTAATAATATATTGTTTTTCAACTATCTGTATTATTAGAGGGTCAGGATTAGCTTTCTAAAGACTAGATCTTAATTATTCTGCCACAAAAAAGAAATCAAAATATGTAATGTGATAGAGGTGCCATCACTACAATGGTAATCATATTGTAATAATCAAATTATCAAATCAATATGCTCTACACCTTAAATTTATACAACGTTATATGTCAAATATATTTCAGCTAAAAAACAATTTCTTAAGAATTTTAATCATTCTACTATTATATCTACTGTTTTAAAAATAATAACAGAAACTCTAAAGCCAAGAAAACAGTAATAATACTGTAAATTGCCTTCTACTCATTGTCATACCAAAAGCACAAACTTCCCCCAAATAACTGTAATATACTCTGATTTATTTATTTTTTTTGAGAAATTACCTGTCCAGTGACAAAGCCTTTATTCCCCAAGATCCATACTCTCTTTTTTCTTCCATTCTTATAGGGCTGGTATTCAGAATCATGTAAGATGCCAGGATTCTAGTAAATAAATATGATAATAAATATTATTTTTATAAATGTCTTTTGCACTTTAAATGGGATAGTAGGCCATGGAATAAGTGTTTGAACATACCATAATAATTACATATTTCTGTCCATGTTCGTGTAAGTTCTTGGCAAAATCTGAGAGACCAGGGAAAGCCTTTTCATCAATAGTGAAGTCCTTCTTTCCATCCATGTAGTCTATATCCGAGTACTGAACATCCTGGAAGACAGTGCTGGCCAATTAGAACCGAGGCAATATCACCATGCTGATAACTCTGGTTCTTCATCATTAAAACTGAAGCCATTTTTCTTTTTTTTAAATATATTTTTATTGATTTCAGAGAGGAAGGAGAGGGAGCAAGAGATAGAAACATCAATGATGAGAGAGAATCATTGATTGGCTGCTTCCTGCATGCCCCCTATAGGGATGAAGCCCACAACCTAGGCATGTGCCCTTGACTGGAATCAAACCTGGACCCTTCAGTCTGAAGGCCAATGTTCTATCCACTGAGCCATACCAGCTAGGGCAAGCCATATTTCTTAATGATCCTGGAACTTCCAGGACTTGGCTACTTCTTAGGAGTAAATAAGCCCTTTTTGAAAGAGTCAGACACTCTTAGGTTGTAGTTGTATCTCTTTGCCTTGATAGATGCCTGTCATAAAGTATTGGGAGGAACTTGAAGGTAAGGACTGTGTCTTGTTCATCCCTGTAATTTAAGAGCTTAGATGCTTGAAGTAAAACAGGTGCTCTTTAAATATTTGTTTGAATGAGCCCATGAGTAATGTTATTACCATGTACTAACTTGGACCCTAGACATCAAGTTAAAACATATCACAAGAGGAGAAAATAGCCTGCTTGTCTTATAAAACATCTAGCGTACTAATTAACAAAGATAAATGACAAAGGGACAGAGCTTTAACTAACCAAACTCTCATACACACATTATTTTTGTGTTTGCATACCAACCTGTGAGAAGCCGATGTTATAATTTTTAGTGGGAGATTGAAATGTATAGGAGCTAAGTGACATTTCCCAAAGTCAAATGCAGGAGTAGGTGGGGGGTTAATTGGGGCTTTGGTGATAGACTCTTTGACTGCAAATGCTCTTTTGTTCCAATTGCCACATACTTCAAAGACATCTGAAGGTCTTCTAAATAATTGTTCATCCTGCGGTTGGTCGGTCGTATGTCAGAGGCTAAGGACTGAAGGAAAATGTGGCTTGTGGCCTATAGCCAATGCAGCACCATCTGTTCTAACACTGGGCAGTCATTTTAGGACCCAGGTGTCCTCCACCGTTACCTGGTGGGAAAGATCTGATCCATGAAAGAAAAGCTCCTTTGTTTAGGAACCAGCAAGACCTCAAAAGGGTTTTCCCTTCAGAGGCCTGGGGGAGATTGAAACCAATACCACATGTAGCCAGGGGGCATGCAGGAGATAGCTGAGCGATCTTTCTAACTCTCTATCCCTCTCCCTTCTTCTCTGTAAAAAATCAATAAAATATATTTAAAACAAAAAACAAAACCTTAACTTAAAAAAAAAAAAAGAACCACTTTTGAATCCTGGGCCTGTCATTGAGCTAGCTGGAGTGACCTCAGGAAAGTGATTAACATTGCAATGTCTGCATTTCCTCATTTGCAAAATACCAATAAGTGAGGGTCAACCATGAATGTGAAAGCATTTTGTAAAATAATGATGTGGCAAGATTTGGCCTGGTTCCTCCTGGAATTGTGTGTTGATAGCAGATATCGGATAAATAAAACTAAATACATAATAATCATGTCCCCTTAACAACAAAACCACACAATGACCAGGTTTTCTCACAAGAAAAATTCATCTCATTGCCTGCCCTCATTGCTCCTCTGAGAGGAGACTGAAAGCTTCTGAGATCAGGCCAAAGTCATTTCCACCCATAATATCTTCCTTCAGGTATTAATCAAATATATGTTTATATCACAGTTCCAAAGATTGAGCCCAAAATAAATTGTTTTGATAACCTCATTAACTACATGTTATACATCTCCAGGGAGAAACTTTTCAAATATTATATACTTAATAATGATCTTTTTATTTACTAGTGGACATTGGTCATCATAAATACTTTACAACCACAGAGCTTTCAAAATGAGGATGTTAGATCTAGAAAGAATATCCAAGGTCACTATGTGAAACTTGCTGTGATTCACCATTATAATAATCAGCACTTGTTAACCATGTCACCCAGGTGTTGCTTTCTCTTATGAAATAGCAACTAACTTTGATGGAGTCCATCCTTTGTGTTACATGCTTTACATGCACAGTTTTAGGCATTCTTCACAACCAGCCCACCAGAGTAAGTCTTAGGTTTTCATTTTATAAAGAAGGTAACTAAAACACAGAGGTGGTAATTAACTAGCCCAACATTGCATAGAGCTAGAAAGAGGAAAAGCTAAAATTCAAAATCATATCCTTCTGACTTCATAGCTGTGCTCTTCCCATGATGACGTAAGTAATTTAGTTTGCAAATTTATGACAGTAGGTCTATCTATCATCTATCCATCCATCTACCAATTTATCTATCTGTATTTTCCTAGTATATTAGGTACAAAAAATAAAAGATAGAAAATGGCATCTTGTTCATGATAAGATAAGTTCCAACTTACATATGGGATCCTAGCTTTACGAGTTCGGTCTACAACCTCTTTCAATCCCTCGATGTTATTATAATTCCTGCGACTAAGCTGGAAACCAAGATTCCAGTAGGAAGGCAGGAATGGCCGTCCAACGAGCTAGAAAAATAAAGAAGTGTCCAAGCATTTAGAATAAACACTGTTTGTAGCAACATGTCCAATACAGACAACTTTGTTTCCATTTCATTATCTGTTAAGTTCTCAGATCTAAAATATCAGAGCCAATTCCTTGTACATAATTTATTTTCACTAAATTTTTATTTACTGCATGAATGAACTTTACTGATTTGTAGCCTCAGGTCTTCGGGATGACTGATCATGCATGGTTGGACCATGAGTTCCTTGAAAACAGCACAGCATCTGTTTAAAACCTCACTAAATGACTTATTTTTACATTTCTCAAGCCTTGCACGGTGCCTCTTAGCACACAGAAGGCACTCAATAAATGTGCATCAGAATAAACATACGATGAATGGAAGACTCACAATCCCAACATATGTGATCCATAGTTTGCCCACAAGTTTTATTTTTCCCAGGCTAATTTACAATGAGTGTATGCGATAGCAGCAATAAAGACTATCTAACTACAAAGCCATACCTCCAGGTATTCCTGAACCACTTCTTCTGGAGTGTCTCCCAGGAACACATAAAAGTCAAAAATGCCCCCGATGGTGCGGTAAGTGATTGCAGGAGCCGGCTGAAGGGTGACCTCTGCAAGTATTAAAATAAGAGCCATTACAATTTCATGGTTGAAAATATATTCTTCTGCAGAATTTAAATATGTGAGCTACCGAAAACAGTCTGTCTCATTTTGAAAGAGATGAAAATCACACCTGTTCCTTTACATGATTGCTGAAGCTTATCAAATATTAAATGAGTACAACAACCATGAGGAATTAATTGGTTTTTTTAGGAGAATGAAAAATAAATTCTATTTTAATCTGGCTATATAAAAATACAAATTTCTGGGATTTGCTACTAATTTCAGAGAAAAGAAAAACGTTTACAACCTTATTAGATCATTTTACCTACAATTAAAAATAAAAATAAACCCTCATCCAGAAGCTGGAGGAGGGAGATTCTGGAGTGGGGAAAGGGTGGGCTGTGAGAAACAGCTACAGATGGACAGTATGTTTACATGTTGAAACCTACAGGTGTCTTTGGAGTGGGTCTATCAGTGAATCCTATCATCTATAAAATATTATGGGAAACATTATACAAAAAGAGACCTCTGAGGCAGTTTTCAATAAAAATAGCTTTCAGCATGAACTGGATTTGTAGACAGGTTAAACTGCTTTCTGTTTCCAGTTTCTGATGAAGCATAGTAGGTCCAATATGCCTCCTGTTAAACTGTGATCTCACCATACGAGTCATTTTTATAAAAGCGGCATCCCCATACATATTCCTGCCAAGGTAAAATGATGTTTCCTACCCATAGCATTACTGTTCATCAGAAAGACCCCAAAAGAGGAGCCACTGGTGTCTTCAAGGCACAAGAAGAACGTGTGAGCTCCATACAAGTTAATCATGCCCTGCCAACAAACATGAAAAGAAATAATAGTACATATGTAAAATGTTTTTATTCACCCCAAAATATAATCAAAAGCCATGCACAACATGTACTTGGTCAACATATGTTGTAGTTAGTATTGTATCCAAAAGGTATTAAAATGGTAACATCAACGTGTGTTTATGATATTTCCACACAATGGGATACTCTATGCAATAAGAAGTGAAATGCTAACACATACTATAACATGAGTAAGTCTCATAAATGTTATGCGAAGTAAAAGAAACAGACACAAAAGACAATAGGCCATGATTCCCTTATAAAATGTACACAGAAGTAAAGTCTCTAGAGACAGAAAGATTAGTGATGGTCTGAGACAGGATGTAAATAGAAATTAAATGTAAAAGTTTTTGGAGTGATGAAAATGTTCTAAAACTAGATTATGTTAATGACAGCACAACTCAGTGAATGTACTAAAACCATTGCATTGTACACTTAAACCAAGTGAATTTTATGGTCTATAATTATACCTCAATCAAGTTATTTATTAAAAATTAGAAGTTATTTGTAATGACATAATAAAATGATAGCAGAAGATGACAATAGTGTGAGAAATTTTGAATGTCTTCTTTATGCGTAACTGCATTTTCTGATCTCTCTACAATTAACATATAATACTTAGGTAGTAATAAAGTTTAAAATTTTTAAAAATGAAAACATATTAAACCTGTCACAGGGCTCTGATGAGAGCACTAATATAAAAAGAGACAATGTGAATAATTGTAAGGGATATAAGAATAGAATATATGAGACTGTAACATATGGAAAGCTTTATGGAAACTCCTTGTGTGATATTGCAAAATTAGTCCTTGGCATATAGGGCAATTGTACTGATTACAGTAAATTCCAGGAGAGGAGAAGAGAATTGGCATGAAGTGTAAAGTAGAGAAGACTAGCAGACCTATGCAAAATTAGGCCAGATTTAAAGTTATAGCCAGGAAGAGTTATGGCATCAGCCCTTGGCTAGAATACAAACTAAATTTAAAATGCTAAGAAGAAAGAAGGAGAGGTGGAGGAAAGGAAGGAAGGAAGAAAAGAAGGAAGGAGGGAAGCAGACTGGCTATAATATTGTCATTAAATTACATATATTTATAAAGTGAACTGTTTTGGAAAATTGATATGTTAGTATTGTGAGTTTACAAATCTCAAGAACAAGTACATACTCTCCAACATAAATTGGGCAAAATAGTAAATAGGCGAACTCTGTAGGTTACTTTACAGTTTTCCTCCCTCTGTAGGTTACTTTCTGAAAAGCAGAGAAGGTATCCCTCACTGTGAGAAATCAGGAGAAAGGGGCCCTCACCTTGGTGGGGGTGGCATCCCGGGTGAAGATGGGCCAGGTCTTCCAGCCCATGTCGCGGCGGTACTGCTGGTGCACGTGTTCTCCCAGCCCATACACGTTGGCGCTGGGCAGCAGGAAGGACAGCTGCAGGTACTGATTGGCGAACAGGAGGGGCCCAATGCTCGTGTCCAACCTGGGCCAGGGCGGAAGAGCGAGAGTCACCAAACCAGCAAGCAGCTCTCTCTGCCAGGAAACGGTCTGCTCCCTGCCCTGTACACTTCGAGAACAGTTGCTTCAGGTCTTACCATCCACTTTCATGCTTTTGGAGAAGGCCTTTCTAGGGTGTCTCTGATTCTTTAATTCCAGAGGAGCACAGCACTGGAGATTTGATACCAAAAACTCAAGTGGGATGATTGCGGGATGGGCAGACCTGACCTTACATTTTCTGTGCATCTACTTCATGTATGCGCTCCACTGGGTGCTTTATAAACATGGCCTCAGTACATGTAGCAACAGCAGATGGTTTGATTCCCTTTCTATGGACAAGGAAACAGACTGAGGAGGTGAGGTACTGGGCCTCATATCACATAGCCTGGTGACCTACTGGTACTGGGATTTGAGTCCAGCTTTTCCTGATGTTAATTCTTATATGTCCACTAGCACAATTTATGACTTAAGTTTAGGCTCTCATTAGGTGCTGGGTGGTAAGTTTCCCAGGAAATCATCATTTGGAATGCTAAACAATGAAGGTGAGTTCCAGTGTGAGTGGTAATCCAAAATAAAAAAATTCCCTATTTCATCATATCCAAGAGTATATATATGACTCAGCAAACCAGCACATCACATTTTAGTTTTTGTTTTCTGGTCTGTCATCATTACATATTCACAGCATTAATGATTTTAACTGAAAGCTTTGACTTTTTCTGAGATTCAAACATTTTCCCAAATATACTGAGCTGATCACCTGCCCACAGGAAGTCAGAATGAATGACATTGGAACTGTATATTCAAAGATATGCAAAGAGTGTTGAAAAGCTCACAAGACTTTTTTGTTGCTCATCCTCATTATTTTGATGCCGAAGGGTTTCTCTATGACCTCGATGTAATAGCTCCGGTTGGTGGAACCAGCAGTCATATTAAACAGCTTAACATGCTCATGGGAGACTTCATAGCGTGTGTTATTGGTTTCAGTGATCTGTCAGGAGAAAAACAGAAGGGACAGCTTCAGAACACAAAACTTCCCTTTAGAGCTACAAAATATTCTCACTCCCACATGGCCCCCAATGAGAATAGCTTCCCATTCTTAACCCTGTGTTTCCTGATTTGTGAGAAGAAACCCCCCAATCATTTGTCCCCCATCAAATAAAAATGAGCCTGACCATCAGATCTGGAGGTCCCTGCAGAGAGAAACAGAGGTACACCTGCTTCCACACTTCTATGCAGTGCATAAAGGAGAATAAGCTGAGCCCTGCGTTCTTCTGAGTTATATTCAATGATAACTACCAAACTGACCTTAAAACGAAGACGCCTGGGTGTCTGATACTCTGCTGTGAAGTGGGCATTAGAGACATCATCTCCAAACCGAGACGGGGTTAGCACCTTTTTCAAGCCAGCAGTTAACCCTGAAGTTGGGGGGACAGAAAGAGGAGAGAGAGAGAGAGAGAGAGAGAGAGAGAATGAGGTTTAGCCTTTATTTTGCAGTTAACTAATCTGGCCAAAGAGTTGTAGCTGCCAGAGGGGAAGGGGGTTGGGGGCTGGGTAGAAAAGGTGAAGGGATTAAGCAAAGACAAAAAACAAACAAACAACAACAAAAAAACACACCTCATTGGCATAGACAACAGTATGGTGATTATAAGAGGGAAAGGGGGTGGGAGGAGATAGAAAAGGGTAAAGAGGAGGGGTAAATGGTGACAGAAGGAGACTTGCCTTGGGATGGTGAACATACAATACACAGATGATGTATTATATAATTGTACACCTGAAACCTATATTATTTTATTAACCAATGTCACCCCAATAAATTCAATAAAATAAGTAAAAAGAAGTGCTTTGGATATAAATAACAATAGTATTGGATTATACAACTATAAAAAGGAGTTGTTGGGGAACACAGTGCTCACCTGTGCTTTCATATTTAAGGCTTCCATTGACTTCATAGCCCCAGTTCGTGGGGAAGAAGCACCTGGGGACATTAGTGTCTGACACAGGCTTCCAGCAGCACTTATATTTCTCAATGCAGTTTTCCTGTAACAATGGCACAGAGTTAGCATTATATGAAATGAAGGAAGGAAAGTATTATATGTCTGTTTATTTATAACCATTTTTTCCAAGAAGGATTTAAGATCGCTCAGAATTACTTTCAGTCATTTATTTATTATTTTACTTATACACTTATCCAGCCATCCAATATGTACTTATTTCCTACCAGACAAGGAACTAAAAGTAGAGATAGATAAGGCACAGTTTTTGTCTGGGAATACACAGTTCTTCACAGGGGCTAAGGGATCACACCAGGCCTCTTACCCAGCCTAAAAGGCTACCAGTGGGGTAGGGAGGGCTTCCAGGCAAGTAAAAGGTAAGCTCAGTCCTAATGCACCAGGAGGGGGTAGACAGGTCAAAAATAGAGCAGTATTCTAAGACAACAAAACAGCCATGCATGACAGACCCAGGGACGCCACAAGTTCGTTATGCTGAGAACACCGAGTAAGAGAAATGAGGCTGGAGGCACACCATGTCCGCACAGAGGTGAGCCGGATGAGGACCAAGTGGATTGAGCTTTCTCGGGAGGAAGAGTCACGGACATGGCTGATGATACGTCATGAAGACGTGTTTTCTAAAAGGTAAGAAAAGTAAAGCAAAGGAAAATAGAGAAACTTAAGATAGAACTAGGACAGAGGGTGACATTAAAAATATCACATGTGGCTTCTCAGAGAGGTTTGATTATACATTTTTTAAATTCCCCTTTTTTGGTGAGATGTCTTTTCAGATAAACTTACATAAGAAATAAGCCAGTCAGAGAAGGATAAATACCACATGATCTCACTCATTTGTGGAATATAATGAACAACATAAACTGATGAACAAGGACTGATCCAGAGACGGAGAGGCATTGATTGAACTGTCAGGCCTTGGAGGGAAGGTAGGGGAGGTGGGGGTAAGAGGGAGAGATCAACCAAAGGACTTATATGCAAGCATATAGGCCTAAGCAATGGACACGGACAACGGGGGTGGGGGGTTGGGGGGGAGGGCATGAGCTGGGGGGGTAGGGGATAACGTAGGGATAAGGACACATATGTAATATCTTAATCAATAAAAAATATATTTAAAAAAGAATCGTTTTGTTATAATAAATTAATAGATGGCAAACTGATTCAAAGTGTTGAACTAAACACAAGCACTCATCTCTTCACCCAATTAAACTTACATAAAGGGATAGAAATGCCATTAAGAAAAAAAATACAAATTCACTATAAAACAGCAAAACATACAATATGACTGACCAGATGTTATGAAATTCTTGAAATATAGAAAATAGATGTTATCAACTCTAAGGGAAAATATATTCATAGTCTAAAACACAAGTGGAGAAAAAGAAGTGCTCTAAGCCAAGTCAGTGTAGAGATTAAAAATGAAATGAGCCAGGCTGGTGTGGCTCAGTGGTTGAACATCAACCTATGAACCAGGAGATCATGGTTTAATTCCTGGTTTGGGCACATGCCCTAGTTGCAGGATAGATCCCCAGTAGGGGGTGTGCAGGAGGCAGCCGATAGATGATTCAATTCTCTCTCATCATTGATGTGTCTATCTCTCTTTCCTTCTTTGTAATCAATAAAATATGTTAAAAATAAATAAATACATAAATACATATGAAATGAGTGCCTGCTCTGTTCAAGTATTTATATAAGGTCACATGACACAGTGCTGTCAGCAAGCATAGTAAATGAGACAGATGCCACCATTAATTAAATAGACCTTATTTCCCTACTGGTTTGAAATGCCACTTTTATTATAAACTAAGTTTAATTGCACATATATGAGAATATGAGTATGTATTTTGAGATGTTCTATTATATTCCAGTGGCATATGTATCAGTTCCTGCTATAATTCCACTATAGTGTCAGGTTATGTTTTGCTTTTAGTTTAGCAGATCAATAAATCTAAAGGCGACTCTTTGAAAAGATCAAAGAAATACGATTATTTCTTACCAAATTCTCCTTTGACAAAAAGAGAGGGAGACAAAGATGATTAGAAACAAAAATGGGAATAGCATGCATATAAGCATAACCAATGGACATAGACACTGGAGGTAGGGGAGGCCAGAGGATTGTCAAGGGCGGGAAAAAAGGAGGCATATGTAATACTCTTTGTAATACTTTAAGCAATAAAACAATTTTTAAAAAAAACAACAGGCCGAGACCGGTTTGGCTCAGTGGCTAGAGCGTCGGCCTGCGGACTGGGGGGTCCCGGGTTCGATTCCGGTCAGGGGCATGTACCTGGGTTGCAGGCACATCCCCAGTGGGAGATGTGCAGGAGGCAGCTGATTGATGTTTCTCTCTCGTCGATGTTTCTAGCTCTCTATCTCTCTCCCTTCCTCTCTGTAAAAAATCAATAAAATATATTTTAAAAAATAAAAATAAAAAAATAAAAAATAAATAAAAAAAACAACAGATACATATGACTTTTTAACACAAATAGAAGAATTATGGGACAGCTATTTGTATATATATTTGCCAATAAATGTGAAACTGTAATTTGAATCTTTAAATAGTATAATATTAAATAATGAAAATTAGGTGGGAATAAATAGAAAACCTTAGAAGGACCAGTAGCCATGGGAAACTGTAAATAGTCAAAGATTTTTCCTTAAAAAAAAATGATATCTTGCCCAGATAATCTGGGGAATAGAATATTCTCATATTATATATCAATATATTTTTAGAACATAGGAAAAGGTGGAAACTTTCCTGACTCATTTTATTAAACTAGAATAATTCTGACAACAAACTAGGCAAGGGAAGTCCAAATAAACAATTAACCAAAAATATATAGTGAACTAATTTCACTTAAAAATAATGATGTATAAAATTTTAATTAGATGTTAGATTTTAATTTATTAGTGCATTGAAAATTTAATGCATACTAGCCAAGTATGGATTATCAAGAGAAAGCTGGAATGGTTCAAAATCAATTAAGCAACATTGACAAAAGAAAATAAAAAGATCATATGACCATCTCAACAGAAGCAAACCATTTTTAAAATATAATAATGTGATAAATTTAAATGACCTAAATTTAAAAAGCAAATTGTATAATAATATACACAGTATAATTAAATCTGTGTTAAAACAAAACAAAAAAATACATAAATATATGTGCAAAATATATGCAAAAGCACAGAAAGACCAAGAGAAAAATACACACCAAACTATTGATTGATTCTGGGGAGAGCATTTGGAGGTAGAGAGGAAGCTTAAAATGAGTAGGACTTTCCCTTTTATTCTGTACATCACTATAATATCTGAATATTTCTTATTAAAAGAATATATTTATAGATTTCATGATTTAAAAAAAACAAAAGAATATGTCATAATACTACTCATTTGGAAAAGGTATAGTACTGACAAGTATTTTAGATGCTGACATCTGATATAATTGCTCTGAAAAATCACAAGAATATATCTTACATCAATGTTCACCATGCTTATTATAAGCAAAGCAATTACATTATAACTATAAAATCTTCTTTAATGTATTCATTTATTCTCCATACATGTAAATTATGTTCCTGCCCCATCCTCTTCAGATATCAGAAGGCTGGAGGGGGTCAGTGGAAAAGAGTTTTGGGTGCTGGTAACCACTGGATAACTGATTTTCCTAAGTCTGAGGCAGACAGTAAGCACTTCTGCTGCCTCTGAAACTGAGGTCTATAAAGTCCAAAAGGTTAGTTTTATTGCCATAAATTGTTCCAAAGTCCACAGACCTCTACAAAAATCAATAAAACAAGAAATCTGCTACATTTAGGTAAACACAAATTTTTGTACATGCAGTCTGCCCTAACATCCTTATTTCAGTTTTAAGCCATTACCAGTACCACAGAAACCAAAGGTCAGATGTTTAAGAGATATACAGTGTGGAGCAAAGGTAGATTTACAGCTGTGAATACAGGAAACAGAGCTCATTTGTATTATTATTTACTAATTATTGTTATTTTCCATAAGAACAACTATAAATCTACTTTTGTACCCTACTCTGTATATTTTCTTCTTTTTCTATTCTCTTTTAAATATATACTTTTCTTTATTTCAGAGGCAAAGGGAGAGGGAGAGATAGAAACACCAATGATGAGAGAGAATTATTGATCGGCTGCCTCTTGTGTGCCCCCTACTGGAGATCGAGCCTGCAACCCCAGGCATGTGCCCTGACCAGGAATTGAACCATGATCTCCTGGTTCATAGGTCTATGCTCAACTACTGAGACACACAGCCGGGCACTCTTTTTTCCATTTTCAATGTCATTACAATAACACAGATTAGCGCCACTTAGAAAATACAATGGATTGTATTTACAATAGAAACTATGCATATGAAAAATCTAGAAAAAAAACTTCATAATGCTTATGTAATACAATACATATTAAGAAAAACAAGAGTTAAAATGGAAAGACTTTTATGTTTTTAAAATGGGATGATTCAAAATTATTGAAATGTCAATATTGCCTAATTTTAACCTAAAATTTAATGTAGTACTTATTAACATCCCGATAGGATATTATGGGATATAGAATATAAAATATGAAGTAAAGCAATAAAATGTAAGTGTACTTTATTGTACAGTTTTTCATCAAAACTAGCAGGGTTCAAATAGTTGAAATTCTTGTAGAAGCCACTCAGAGAGAAAATGTTGGTTCTTTCGCACAGGTTCATCGGGCTCTCTTGCCAATAATACGATTCCAGAAGACTCTTGTTGTAACAAGTCACCTGAATTCACCAAGCGACTCAGTCATTCATATCTGCTTGATGGGTTCTCTTCTCAAGGGATACATGGTCTAGCCCTAGAACAACCTTTCTGTGGCTGCCCTGGGAATAACCCTCCACTAGGAACTCACCCTCCACTCTGGATTTCAAACCCTGTGGGCCAACACTCCTATCATTTCCTACTCCTCTTACTGTTACCCTATCCTACTTCCCTCACTTCTTTAGTGTTATTTCAATAAGACAAGAAAGAAATAGTAACACCAAACAAGTCAGAGTTCCATAACCTACTCCACCACCACTCTCTCCCCACTTCACACACTCATTTCTTTTCAATAAAACCCAGCAAATCAATGGCAGGTCGCCCATTCCTCTGACCTTTGACACCATCTCGCCAGGCGCACAGTCTATCCTATGTGATTCAGGGATCTCAGGGCACCGTGGACTAAATGGAGCATCTGCATAAAAATTAAAGAACAAAGTTAAAATTCTGTATGTGCATAATCACGGTTCCAGGAATGAAGCAGTGTCAGACTTTCAGCCTATTCTCCAGTCAATGAACACTAGTAGCTGCAATCTACATTTGTATACATTTCCCAAGTGTTAAATACAGTTGCTTTTAAAATATATTAAAAGAATGGACTTATACAGATTTTTTTATTTAAAAATACCAAAAGAATATATATTTTATATTTATTCTATATTTGTATTTATTTATCTTCCATACATGTAAATTATGTTCCTGCCCCATCCTCATTTGGAAAAGGTATAGTACTGACAAGTATTTTGATATTCTCATAGAAGCTACTCAGAGAGAAAATATTGGTTCTTTAACACAAGTTCACCGGGATCATTTTGCTTTCTGTTTCATTGGCTTTTATTGAGATGCAATTCACATACCATAAAATTCACCCTTTTAAAGTGTACAACTCAATGTTGTTTTTGGTATTTTACACAATTGTGCAACGAATCACTACCATCCAATTCCTGACAATGACACTAAAACAAACTAAAAGATTCTGCGTACAAAGACAGCAGCAACAACAACAAAAACACAATTAACAGAGTGAAAGGGCTTTCTGAATAAATTCTACCGATCTGATGTACAAAATTGTGCCTATAGATAACAATGCTGTATTATACACTGAAAAAACTGTTAAGAGGGTAAATTTCACTTTAAGTGTTCTTACCACACACACACAAAAAAAGAAAAGAAATGAAAACTCCTTTTCAACTCATGGAAACTTCTTGGAAAAACACATCAGGGCAAGCCCACTATGTAAAACATTTAAAATTTGAAGCATTCTGCATGAATTAGAGTGTGGTTCAGAATGAATGCAGATGCAAAGATCTAATTTTATGTTAAATAAAAGAAACTACTTATTCATATACACTGGACAGTAATCTCATGGGACTTGTGATCCAAAAATATTGATAGGGAAAAAGCAGTAATAGGTCAAAAACAGTTTTTATCAATGGTTTTCAAATCATCTTTCAAAGTCATAGTTGTTTCTAGAAAGTGTCAATTTACTGTGGAGAGTGTTGAAGAGATTGAGTCAGTAAAGTTCTTCTATCAGTATAATTTCTTTTTACCACGTGTTTAATCTACAATTATAAAGTAAGCGTTATCAAGCAGAATAAACCTAATTGAGAATAGATTTTTGTATGACACTTTTTTTCTTATTTAGAGTATAATGTGTGATTAAAGGAGAAAGCATTCTGTTTGATGCTTCTGTGTGACAGAGAAAACAGTTTCAAAGATATCTACGAAGAAATCATAGCTATTCCAGTCAGAATATGGACTGGAGGCTAATTGTAATTGATATATGTAAGCCAAGTGTATCAGCCCTCCCCTTCTCTGTAACCTAATGCCCTTTGCCATAATGTAATGGGATTGGGCACAGTTACCTCAAGTGTTCTTTCTCCTTGAAAGCCCTATTACCTCATGACTCTAGGTTGAAAAACAAGTATTTGATGGGCCTAATTGTGCATCTTGTTAAATTTGTTTCAAATGATACTTTTGAGGCCTTAAATATCATGAGCATTTAAGATTTAATTGCAGAAAAAGAACACAGCTTTTGGAGATTGACCTAAATTAGCTATGAATGTGAGTTATACATAATGCAGTGTGTGGCATGCCAAGGAGTGAAGGAGTAAGATGATTTTTTTGGCATTCTGAAGGGACTTCCTTCCAACTCAGCAGCCATGAGTATCCCCCTTACCTGGAGTAACCTCAAGCACCAGAAACAGCAAGAAGATATCTGCGGCCAATACAATTAGGAAGCAGATGAACAGAAAGATTTCCAACACACCGAGCTTCCTCGCCATCTAGATGGACACAGATAACAGGATTTAAGCAAACCATAAAGTCCCATCAATCCAAAAGAATAGCTAGGCATTATGATTAGAATGGGAACTCCCTTATGAGATGACTAGATTATTGGCATTTCTCTTTACATAATCTAGAGAATATTTTTTTCATCACAGTGTCATCTAAGTCTAATCTATGCATCCAACACTACTACAGCTCTTGCCCTTTTTGCCTGCAGAGGGATTGAGTATTGCCCAAGGAAAAAATACATCAGACATGAAGAATGAGAGGGAGAGAGGAAGAAGAGGAATGAAGTACAGGAGAAAGACAGATGAGGGGTTGAGATGGCTCAGAAAGCCCTTTCAGATACCACTTTGATCTCCACAACCACCCTGGGCAGTAGAGAGGAGGGTACAGTCAGGGACAGAAACAGTAGCAAAACCTGAATCCATGTCTTCTTTTAATAATTCCCATGCCATGATGTTGAGGTGTTTAACTGTTTAGAGGTCACTAATCCTTTTTACAATCTGGTAACAAAAACTACTAATCTTGATCACCAACATAATGCTTGCTTCACAACATATAAACCCATATAAATTTGGTGGTTCACAGAAGCCCTGAAGACCATGCATAGGCTCAAGTTTTTAAATATTTGGTGTATTGGAGGGAAATCAAAGGACTTCAATTCTTGGCCTGGATTTTGTACTAACAGATGGATATTTTAGCAATTTGGGTGTGTGTTTCTTTATCTACAAAATGAGCTCAGATTCAGGAGGTACTCTCATTCTGGTACGCTAATTATATCAAATGAAACATTATATATACTGAGTGGCCAGATTATTATGACCACCCCATCAGTACTTCGTTGGGCCACCTTTTGCCTTCAATACTGCGGTGATTCTTCTTGGCATTGACTCCACGAGATGTTGAAAGGTGATGAGAGGAATCTGACACCATGCCTGATGAATAGCACTGTCCAGTTCTGTGAGATTTGATGGTTGTGGAACCAGGTGCCTGATGGTTCTTTTAACTTCGTCCCACAAATGCTCAATTGGATTGAGATCTGGTGATTGTGGGGGCCACCTAAGCAAGGTGAAGTCTCCCTCACATTCTTGAAACCACTCCTGCACAATACGAGCACCGTGGCAAGGCGCATTGTCTTATTGGAAGAAGCCATCTCCATTGGGATATGTCATCAACATGATAGGATGAACTTGATCTGCAATGATACTTAGGTATGTTGTGCTATTCAGACATTTATAATGATCTGGCCCTCTAGCAACTTCAGCGGGAAATTATAGCTAATTTGCCTACAAACATCAGGTGGTCATAATAATCTGGCCACTCAGTATATATATATGTATATATATGCCTCACAATTCCACACCATCTTTAACTTCAGTGGCTCACATCACCACTCTATTCCCATCACTTCAAACGTTGCCTATATCCTGGAATTTATCACCCTCTAGATCTACTCTGAACTCTTAACCTCTGCTTCCTATTTACTGGTCAGAAGCTCATATCCTTTTTCTCTCATTGCATTGTTACCTTATCCTTTGACCATATTGAGGCTTCTCTTTCATTTCTTTTTAGTCTCTTAGCCCTTCCTGGTTATTCTCCCCAAGTGATGTATAGGCCTCAATATCTATTGCTCTCATCTTCCTTGCTACCTTGTCTGCTACCTAAATCTATCTAATGAAACTATCCATCCAAACATCTGTCTCGGGGCCATGCACTTAGCCCAGTGTAAATGCCACTGGGTTCATAATCTCCCAAATATTCTGGCATGCTGGTTGACAATCTTGCCTCTCATTTTTCACAGCAGAAATTTCTAACATGATTATTTTTTTCAAGCCCCAACCTCTGTCACCAACACTCGCACCTTCAGCCAATATCATCTCCAACATCACACACAAGAAAACTATTTTGCAGAAATGATTGCCTCTCCCTGGTTCTCAACCAGTGTTTTTCTACAAACGTTTTTTACATCTAGGTAAATTCTCATACTTTCCCTCTCTGTGGAAGAGTTTTCCCTCTTCTTGTCTAAGCATAATCCTTGCTATCTATTCTCTAGTACTCATAGCCTTTAAATTTCTCAAAAAAATCATATTCAATAATATTGTGATAAGTTTACCTGGTGACAGATGATTACTAGAGTTAGTGAGGTGATCACATTTAAGGTATCAAAATGTCGAATCACTATATTGTACATCTGAAACTAATATAACCAACATAAGATTGTATGCCAACTATACTTAAATAAAAAATAAATTTTAAAAAATAAAATTATTAGCATTAAAAAATATTGGTCCACCAATTACCCTTCCTCTTTCTTGAATTACCAAACTCTCCCTCTGAAGTCACTCTTTCCTCTCATAAATATATCATCCCAAATCACCCTAAACTCTCTTGATGACTCAGTGTTCTTCTCTAGGTTCCCTAACTTCCTTTCTCCTTTCATAGCTATCTTTCCAAAAAGATAATTCCACACTGTCTGCATTAGCTTCCTCATGTTACTGGCTTGGCTTCTGCTTCTTGCATTCCACTGAAACTGCTCTAGCCAAGGTCACCAGCGACTCAGCTGCGGAATACAATGGGCACTGTCTAAATCATCTAGCATAACAACCACACCCTCCTCTTTCAAATTCCCCACCTTCGGATTATCATTCCATACTTTTCTGGTTCCTTTTCAGTTTTCTTTGTAATGCCGTATTTCATTAAATGTTGATATTTCCTGTGTTACTTTCATAAATCCAATCCCCACTCTCTTGAGCAATCTTCACCACTCATATGACTTCACATAACAATAAAAGTCAATCCAACCTGGATTTCTAGCTCAGAAATTTAGATTCATATAGGCGATTGCTTATTGGATATCGCACTTGGATGTCCCACAGACTTAACCGAATTCAACAGATTTAAACATGAAATCATCTCTCCCAGCATCCTGTTCCCAACTTCTACTAGTTCTGCCAAATTGGCTGCTTCTCAAATAATTCACATCTTGAGGAAGAGAAAAATTACAATTTCTTTAAAAATCTGGGTAACATTTTTGCCTCCTCTCTGCCTGTTAGTTCTCACAACCAGTTACCAGCTAAGTCAGACTAATTTCCCAATACCTGTCAACTCTGTTCCTTCCTCTCCTGTTCTGGAAATACTTTAGCCAGGCCATCTGCTTCTTGCATTCCACTGAAACTGCTCTAGCCAAGGTCACCAGCGACTCAGCTGTGGAATACAATGGGCACTGTCTAAATCATCTAGCATAACAGCCACACCCTGACCTGAACTGTAACCTCTGCTTCCCCACCGCTCCCTGTTTCCACTCGTTCTGCTCCTGGTATCCATTCAACACACCGCAGCTGAATTGATCTTTCTGCAGCACAAATTGGGTCATTTGGTTCTCCTGTGTTCAAGTCTTCGAAGGTTCTCCAGATAACATATAAAGTCTGTGGTTTGTAATCAAAGGTCATCAGATACCTCCCAAGCCTAGCTGTCCAGCCTCTTCTCTTGCATATGTTCCAGCTATGCAAACTGACATTTCTGTAGTGACAGTCTATAAGTCCATGCGGACAAAAAAGTTTCTCTCTCTCTCTCTCTTTCTAATTTCACCTCTCCTTTAAATTCCCATTTCTCTGCACCCCTGCTCATCTTAAACCCAGACCAATGACATGACCATTTCTACAAGTATTTTCATATATGTATAGCTTCACTTTTTAATTAAGGTAGCCTTTAAATTAATGCGTAATAACCCAATAAGTACCTTAATTGCAAAATGGGGGTGAGAAGCACGGATATATAAATTATTTGCCAAGATGTGGGGGTGGGTGGGTGGGTGAGGTTAGGTTTGAGGTTTGGGATAGCAGTTGAAGTATATTAACTATTCCTTCCTATTAGCCTAAATCTATCAATTAGGTGTCTCTCATCTAGTCAAAATTATTCAAAGGTTTACTCTAATCCCCATAATATATATTTCATATTATTATATTCCCATAAAATTCCCATATCAAAGTTGATCAGGCAGGTGTGAAAGTTGACACAGGGGCACCATTTTAAAATGAAGCCAGAAAAGCCATGCCGGATGAACTGCCTTACCTCTTGCCCTTACACCTTTGAAATGTTTGAACTGGACAAAATGACCTTTGGGCTGGGTCACAGCCGCATTGCTTTGCAAACAACTGTAAGCTGACTGACAGGAAAGCAGACACCCTAACCACAAGGACTGACATACTTTAAAATTAGTAACCAGCATGGATAGCTAAAAACGAACTTAGTTGTTAACAACAATAGAAAACCTTTTCCTCTCTTCATATAATAATATCCCCTCCTTTTCCCATAAAACCCCCCTGGCTTTATCCTGCAAATGGGACACAATTTGGGCTTCCACCTAAACCTGTGTTCCCCAATTGCAATTCTGTGATCTCAAAGAAATGCTTGTTGCTTCTCACTTTGGCTTTTTATTTTTAGGGTAAGGCAGGCATCAAGATTCCCATCTTATAAATAAATGCTAAAGAATTTTGTCTAACCACAGTTAGTAGTAGAACTGAGGCAGAAACTGAGCAGCCCTGCTTTTTTAAAAAAAAAGTTCATCTTGTTTTGTTGTATTGTTGACATTATTACAGAAATCCCCTATTTCCCCTCACTTCCCCCTCCCACCCCACCTCAGGCCTTCACCACACTATTGTCTGTGTCCCTGGGCTATGCATATATGCATATAAATTCTTTGGTTAATCTCTTCCCACCCACCACCCCTCCACCCCCATCCTCCCTCCCTGCCCTCTGAGATCTGTCAGACTGCTCCATGCATCTATGTCTCTGTACCTATTTTGTTAGTTTATTTTTTTCATTAGATTCCTGCTTATTAAATTTGAATACTGTCTCGTAGACTGCAGAGCTTAAAGATCTAGAAGCTAAATCGCTAAAGGTAGAATTTCAAGACAGTGAAAAGAAGTCTCAGAGACCCAACCGCACTTGCTCTCAATACCCAATTTAGTTTCTTATCCTTATAACCCATGAC